GATGTGTTCCACGGAAGCATTGAGGGGAGTGAAAGGTTGACGGTTCCTCTGAGGAGCAGGACCTAGCCGGTCCTTGACAGGGACTTTCTCTGTCCTGCCATATTTGTTGCTGGTTTCCTTCTTATCGTCCTTCTCTCTTTCCTTCCTTTTCTCACCAGCTCTGGAAGACTCACCCCGCCTGGCCCTTGTGATATCTTCTGCGTTTATGTATTTTTGGGCCTTGGCTAGCAGCTCTGGCATGCTCTTCGGTGGGCGCTTCAGAACTGAGAAAAGGAAACTTGATGAACGGAGGCCACCCAAGAAAGCGGTCATTGTCACCTTGTCGTCAGGTTCATCAACTTGGAGTACCTCCTCGTTAAAACGAGTGAGGTAACTCCTTAGGCTCTCCTCGCGGTCCTGCTTTATGCTAAGCAGATGTGTAACTGGTTTCTGGTGGCGACGCCCTCCTATGAAGTGTGAGACGAATGATCTGCTAAGCTCGGCGAAAGAGGCAATAGAGGCGGGGGAGAGCTTAGCAAACCACTGTCGGGCAGACCCCTTTAATGTGGTTGGGAATGCCCTGCACATGATTTCGTCTGGTACGTTGTGCAATTGCATCAAGGTCTTGTAAGTGTCGAGGTGGTCCAGTGGATCCTTTGTTCCATCAAAGGTCTCCACAGATGGCATCTTGAACTTCTGAGGGAGGGGGTAGTTCGCTACATCAGATTTGAAAGGGGTATCAGTACGCCTTACCAGGTGGTCAACAGTCTCGGGTCCCTGGGCCTTCATGGCGTTGAAGACATCACCGAGTTGATTTTGTACCTCCTTTATTTTCTCGTCCCAATGATTGGGGGCTCCTCTGGAATGATCATGGAAGTGGCTTCCATGCCCCATGCTTTGGTTTTCACCCTCATCCTCCTGGAGATAAGGGTCCTCTTCCTGGAAAGCAAGGGGAGGGGGAGGTGCAGCTCCCTCATGTTGGGCTTCCTGAAGTGGGGTGCCCAATGGGGCACCCGGGCGTGGAGCAACAGGGCGTGGTGCTCCTTGATGCCCAGGATGTGGAGCTCCTTGTGGTGCTCTATGTTGTGCACCTCTGTGGGGCCCTCCATGTTGTGCACCTCCATGTGGTGCTCCACGTTGGGGTCCTCCATGTTGTGCACCTCCATGTGGTGCTCCTCCTTGGGGTCCTCCATGTTGTGCACCTCCGTGTGGTGCTCCTCCTTGTCCAGCAAGTATGAGTTGCAGTAACTGTTGGTTTTGAGCAACAAGTTGCTGCATGGTCTCCAGTATTTGTTGGGGATTCGGGGCTAGAGTATCCGGAACAGGGTTGACAGGCGGGGGGGCAACCTCTTCCTCTCGTGGAGGATTGTCTTCGTGTTGGTTCATAGATCGGGTAGTGATCGCCATTAGTTAATGGACGTAATGTTCAGGAGTGAGAATTTTGTCGTTTCCCACAGACGGCGCCAAACTGATGATGCACAAAAATGGTTTTGCACACCACCTGTCAAGTATAGATAATAAATGCAATGAAATCAACGAGAAAATTAAAGAAGACACAATTTATAGTGGTTCGGTCAATTCGACCTACGTCCACTCTTCAATGGCTTCAGTCGCCGGGTATTTTATTGATTCAAAGGTATGGAGAACGGAGATACAAGCTTTGAGAGGGGGAATGGAGAATCAAAGAAAAACAATAATCTCCGGTAGTCGGTTCGTCTTCTGAAAGTCTCTGATGGAGCATGTGTCCCTTTCTCTCTCAGATTAGAGCCATTTTATAGTAGATAAGAGATCATTCTTGTGGAGATCATAACATATCCTCAAGGCTTCTTTATCGCAGCTTAGAGATTATCTTCGGTGGAGATCACGACTTATTCTCAACGGAAGGAAGAGTTTGGGGAACTCTTGAAGGAAACGTGGTCAAAGATTGGACCGTTGATAAGCTTTTTGTGCTCTCTTCTTGGTGACGTGCTAAGCAAGAAGTCCAACCGTGCTCTCCTCTTGGTGACGTGCTAAGCAAGAAGTCCAACCGGCCTTGGGCTCCCTAAGGCGGTGTAGATAAACTTCTTGTGCTCTCCTCTTGGTGACGTGCTAAGCAAGAAGTCCAACCGTGCTCTCCTCTTGGTGACGTGCTAAGCAAGAAGTCCAACCGGCCTTGGGCTCCCTAAGGCGGTGTAGATAAACTTCCCGTGCTCTCCTCTTGGTGACGTGCTAAGCAAGAAGTCTAGCCGGTCTTAGTCTGTCTTGGACTTGGTGGGTTCACGATGAGGTTGGGCTCCTCAACCGGGGTTGGGCTTTAATACATAAATTGGACTACTTGGGCTTAACCCATCAGTTACAAAAACTGAACTCTGCCATTTTAATCGGTTGTCTTCGGCATCAATTGTGTTCAATAAAAAACATGGATTAAGGTTAAGTTGACCATAACATCAACATAGTCATACAAACAGGTAGTTATTAATACCACTACGAAGAGTGATAAAAGAGATAGATAAATTAAAGGATAATTAACCGTCTATAGCGAATACTCAACATAATTGAGAAAAGTCATGGTAGTATCGTATTTCTTTCTATTATAATTAGAGAAAGAAGAATTATAGTATTTGCAGCTGAACCATAAGGCTAAAAGACCAGTTCAAAATTCCTTTTCATTTTTTGCAAATAGAAAGACTAACAACATTAAAAGACAGAAACACTAAACACAGTACTAAATCCAATCACCATCTTAAAAGACCAACGTTCGGTTCAACTTCGGAGACAATCCGTACAAGCATCCAGCGTGAGACTTTGGAGTGTGTGAAGAGAAAAAAAAAAGGTATTAAACTAATCACCTAAAAGATAAAAAAGGGTATTAGACTAATCACCTAAAAAAGCAGTTTAAATAATTCCTATGCATGCGACATAAACCAATGTCCTTTGAAGGCATGACTTTTATATAAACATGAATCGATCAAAGCATCTTGTGCAAGACTCCAAAGTGACAGTGGGCATTCGAAATCTTAAAAATAAAAATTTTATCATTCGGTGGTAAGTTGCGAAGTGAAAGTTTTGAAGAGCACATACACATGGTTAAAGGGTAATCAGCTGCCTAGCCAAATAAATGATTGGAGAAGATACTAGTTTTCTCGGTCATATATGCCGTGCGTATCTCTTTTGATTACCATATAAATTACTCAGATAAATCTCTCGGATTAAGACTGATCACCTGACTTCTCTCTTTTAAAGTGTATTGCATACCCTTGAATCAATCCCTTGTAATATCTTCGATGAAATTAATGAGAGAACAATAAAGTATCACAATCACAATCAACTTAGTTGCAACGCTCTGATATATTGCTGACTTTGATCTAATTGAATCATAGAATGATATACTAATTCGTCTTTAAGCCAGTGAATTTATAACGGTGGTCCTACGCGGACCACCTACCAGCAAGACTTTTTCCTCAGAAAATTTGTGGCCATCCTCTTCACCGAACCTTATCCTCCTCAGGTTGGACTTCACCCTGAAAGCTCACGAGTTTCAAAAGCCCAGTAGTCTTGTGAACCATGACCATCTTGCCCCATTATACACCTTGGATAGGGTAGCCCACTAATCCAATGGGAATGGTCAGGGGTCTTCTGGACCATTTTGGCCCATCATAGGCTACCCCATGGGTAGCCCATTAATCCAATGGGTTTGGCCATGTTTCCTTTTAAGTATTAAAGGCTAGGATTGGCCCAAATTATTACAATCTTGACATATTATTAAGTTTGGATAAAGTAATAAGGTCCGGCATTATTTTTTTATAATCATTACCGGCAGTAATAGTCCCATTTAATATCTAATGTTAATTATAATTGAATTCGGGAGTTTGTATTACGTCTAAGATGCTTAGGATTAATATTCGTAATGACCTTTTTATTGTTACATGACTCTAATTCAAGATTAGTATAAGATCGGTATTATTTTGAAACTTAAAACATAAACAATAAATGAGGTTTTTTTTAAATATTAATTAATTTTTTTATATTCAAGTTTTTGCGGGACCTACTTTTTATAGATTTAAATTTTTTTATTTGAGTTATTATTGTACACCTAAAAATTATAGAGTTTTTCATAAAATCTAAGTTTTATCGGCCTAATGATCGGACCAGCGTTGAATGTTATACTGACCTTAATTTAAACATGTATAATAATATACATGGTATAGAATTAAATAATATACCAATTAAAAATCACTCCATTAACACAACAGAATGAGTAACGGAAGGACCATAGCACTTTTAATACATTCAGTAATAAAAGGTAGCCAAAGGACCACAGTTTCCAAAGAACCTCAGGACTTGGTCTGATTGCAACTCATTGAAAGGCAAAATGAGAATTCCGAGTTAAAACTTGCACAAGACACTTTCCGAAGAACCTCAAGATTTGCAGTCTCATTGCAACTCATTGCCGGTCGCAGGTTGTTCGATGAATGTTCTCTCCACAACTATGGTTTTCACCCTCCGTTTTGAGCTTCAGTCACTTCAATGATTGTAAGACCACTAGGGTAAAAACCATACATTGTCAGATGGAGACCCTGTTCTTTGGGTATATGTCTTTACACAGGCAATGGATGAGTGAGTGCCAGCTTGTGGAAAATCTTTCAATGTCTAATCAAATGAAACTTTCTGTTGCTTTTGGGTTTGAACTGAAAGGGAAACTCCAGGCAGGCAGTGGACAATTACTCTATAGCCTTTTGTTGGTTAAAGTTGAGTACCTGAAACTTTATAGAGGGTGACAAATCATATAGAAAAAAAAACTTTGGCCTTTAAAAGCATCTGCTAGCAGTATGAGGAATGTGGTATACTAGCCCTTACTGTTGATTGCGACTTCCATTACAGAGGGCCTAAACAGAGCAACACCGAACCTTAGAAATGATTGCGTGACCATTAATCCGAATTATCTTTCTTGTGGGAACTACCTTTCATCTAGTATTTGGAGGGTTACCATACTTTTGTAAATTTGAATGATAAACAACTAGTATGTTCCTTGTGGAGTTATTCTATTGTTTGTAGCCTAACTCCATCAACTTGTTCGGTCCCCAGAAATTGTGAGCTTGTGACTTGACCTGGGTGCCAAGAGTCCCACTAGCTCTACAATTATTAAAAGGGAGAGATTGGCATAGAAATTGAAGATTCCTTGGACAAGAAAGCAGTTAATTTACTGCCTTTTTCATCTTTTCTTTTCATCTTACAATCTCATCCTTCAAGCCTATTAGTCTATTGCTCTTTGTTACAAGCCCTGAACACTATCTAAGAAACAAAAGTAAAACATTTCCCCCTCATCTTTCCACTTGCAGAAATCCACTACAAAAGGCAAAATCAAGGAAGTATGATAAAAAAAAAAAAAAGATAGAAGATAAGATAAACAATCCAAACAAGCTTCTCATAAACATTATATTGTTATTTTTCTACAGTTCATTATCAATTTACAAGCACCAACAAGCAAATTACCTTAAGAGCAACCATCTCATTACATGCTAACTGAACACAGTAGGTGATCTTCTTTCAAACTGTAGTAGAACACTGAGTTCCTTGCTTAGAACTTAGAGGACCTGATGGTATGGAAGGTCCAAAAGGCATTATAGCAACACAATTCACATTGAACCTAAACCTCCCAGAAACCCAAGTCCCCACCTTCCATCGAAGCCTGCCATTTGCCTTGAGACTAAAGACAAGTTTTCCGGCAGTCTGATCGCGTCCGACTTCATAATCAAAAGACGGAGCCACAGGTATCCCAGTTCCAACCAAAGCTGCCGTTAGGAGGTTGCTTTCTTCATGCCCTTGATAGAAAGGAGGAATAGTAGTATCAATTGTTATCTGTTGACCCTTGTAAGAAGCATATACTTGGAGCTCGTCATAGTAAACGCCTACATTCTTATTTGGGTTTTTCGAGAGTAAAGTTATTTGAATAGAGGAGTTGAGAAGGTGGGAACCTGAGAGATTGAGTTGGTAGACATCAGCTTCTTGCAGAGAGAACTCAGGCTTGGTGGGGTGTAGGATAAGCCAGATAAGGAAAATGAGTGATAGTATAGAGAGCAGAAACGTAGAGAAGTAGAGGAATAGCTTTCTGTAGAACTTGTCAATGCTCAATCCTTGCTTGGCACAGTGTTTGGGGGATTTTACATGGAATTGAGACATTTGCTGTGAGAGAGAGAGAGGGAAGAAGAAGAAGAAGAAGGTGGTTTAGAAGGCCAAGGAAAGGGAAGTGAGCATATTTATAAAGTGAGCTCTGGGAACCAGAAAGCAGCAATTATTTACTCTTGCTGCTTTTGACTGGTAGCTTGCAAATGTGGCAGAACGTGGCTGCAATATATTTACCCATTAACTTCTGGAATGTATCGTTTAATACTCTGGAAACAGCCTCTGTGCAGAGGTAAAGAGATAAGATTGTGTACATTTAACCCTCCTCAGACCCTGTAATGGTTGGAAGTACGCCCTTTAGCCTATTATGGGACTGTGGAAAACATGCTTTTCTACATTTGGATTAATCCTTGCAGTAGATAATACTCTACTGTCCTGTTGTTATAAGAAGACAAATTGAATGGGGAACAAGGAGTGGACATGAGACCTGTTTCATCTTTACAAAAGCAAAAAAGCTTGTGAGACATTGATATTTAGTTTCTTGCACGCAAAAGTTTATATAGTTGCATTTACGAAAAGCCACATAAGCTAATTTCACTTGAAATATTATGCAAGTATGCATACAGCACTAGACTATCTTGTTAATACCCTGATTGTGTGCTCGTTTTTATCACGTCTTCAAATTTGATTTGAAATGTTGTGCTCCTGCGTTTGCATTTGGACACTCAAGTTTGTAATTCAGATATATTTGAATTTTACGATACCCTTTCCTCCATTTGATTGCTCTCACAAAATTGCTCCGACAGAAGCATTACACGAGAGCCCAAAAGGGTAATTTTTCTAGTCTTGTGATTAATGAATGGTTTGTAATGTTTGAGGTTACCGTGAAAATGTTACACTTCAAAAATTTAAACCTATAAAGACAAAGTTCAAACTTAGTGGTGAGCTGAAAATGATATTGCAGGTTACTTTTGGTAGTGCAACAAGCAATGTATTGAAAGCATTGTGTGCATGGTACTGATGGTGATTGATAAGCACCAGCTGTGGCTCCTTATGGGGAAATCTCCCATGCATCATGAATATCCATCCACTTTGCTACCAGATTTTACAGGTACATGTTCATAAGTTTAATTTTTATGTGATTGATGAGAGAGGAATACAGTGATATATCTATCTCAGCCGGAATCTGATGGGAAGAGAGCTTTACAATAATTATACAGAAAGTGGAGGCTTTTAAAAGTGCTAAAAGATAGAGTAGCCAATAGCGTTTACTGTTGATTTTAGTAGAGGGAGAATGAGTGTAATGTAAATTAGACGCTTACATGAAGTGGGAGTTTTGAAGTTGAGTCTTTGTTTAATTTATTGAGCTTTGCATAGGGAAGAGGAAGACATGGAGAATCTGTAAAATTGACTTTATGGAAGCCCCTGGTTTTGGTATGTGTCTCACACAGCCTTTACTTTTAAGTTAAGAAAAGGGGAAGTAAATAGATTTGTTTATTTTCTGAATCTTAGCCCTTCTTTAGCCAGACGCACCTTGGTACTTCCATCCGCCAATCAATGCTTGTGGAGCTGGGCCATTCATTGTTCATCGGGGTGTGGTGGGAGTGCCAGCAAACCACCACAGAGTTGTCACGCGTACGATTGCCATGTTAGTAGGCTTTAATGCGTTTGATAGAAATATGGGGCTCCTACTTAGGATCTTCAAAAGAATATTGCAGTCTTCTAGGTAAAGTAAGTTTGAAATTAAGGGGGTTCATTATTCACTTTTAAACCTTTCTTTACTTTCAGTTATTCAGCCCTTCATTCAGTCAGGAAAAAGATAGTCTACCTGCCCCATCGTTTGAAGTGATTTCTCATCCAACCTTTCCTGCTTATTTTTTTAAATTGGGACCAAATAAATGTCTATATATCTGGAATTGCAACTCGGAAAAAGATGTTGGTCTTTTTATTTTATCGTATTAAAGACAACGTGTGTGGTGATAAGGCTTAGTTACGGTCCCTCCCTTCACCTTCAGCCCATTTGGCTGACTGAATGTTGGCTATGATCAGTGTAGCCATCAGATTTTTTGACGATTAGTCACTTGTCGTGAATCCAATTGTTTTGCAGCCTTTGGAGGTTATTACACTCGGCATCTACGAGCCCCATGCCTCACCATAACAGCACAAGTCACAACACATCACAAAGTCTAACAAGGGACATTATATCATTTTCGAAGCAGAGCCATTTGGTTCTAAAAGGTAACCAAGTGTGCTCAATCGGCCACTAAACCACCCCCCCCCCCCCCAAAAAAAAAAAAAAAAAAACACACACACACAGAAAACTGTCTGGAGTCTATTCAAGCTTCCCGTCAAAGGTAAACAAGATGTCACTCTCGGAAACGAGAGTAGTACAGGCGATATGGGAAAGAGGGGTGCCGAAGGGCCTATTTGTTGCTACATGTAGAAACCCAACCTTACAATACATTCAACGTAGTTTAAAACCGTGTAGACAATAATGTACAAGAGGAATCCAAAACACTATAACATGCATCATCAAACAGTTCACCAAATTCACCGCACAGATCATGCGTCAACCTTGGACTTTTTAAGAACTAATAAGGGGAATAGCATCTGTTAGAATTTGTTGAATGTGCCTTAAATCAAATGCACACCCGTTGAACTTTGCAGCATTATAAGGAACTTCATATGTAGTGTTGGAGATATTACAGCTTAGTTTATTAGGATTTACTATATTTTTTTTTCTTTCCTTTTTATCCTTATTGTATTTTCATTAACTATATATACAGAACTCTACACTTAGTTTGTATCCCTTTTTTACTTAACAATCCATCAAGTTAGTATCAGAGTCGACCCTCACCTTAACCCTAACCCTAACCCTTACCTTTGCTCCTCTCCCACGTCGCAGACCACTCCACTGATAAGCATCAGCAACCAAAACCAGCAACCCACCGACACCACTGCCCACCAGCAAAGCCGACAAACCAAACACACCAGACCACTCCAGCAGATAGCCACCGACACACCAGGCCACCAACAAAACCACACACCAGCCCATTCCACCGACCCACTCAAACCAGCAAAGGAACCCAGCCTCCCATCAGAACCAGACCACACCGCCAGCGACAAAACCAGACAAGCTACTGCCTGGTACCACCGACAGCAACCAACAACCGACTGCCTACACCAAAATTCAATCCAACCGACTGCCCACACCAACAACCGACTACCCACACCCAAACCCAGACCAGCGACCCACAAAACCCCCACTGCCTAAACCCAGATCAGCCTACTACCTATCGCACACTTTGTCATAGCTTTGTATTTTTGCCTTCGATTTTCACTCTGTCGTAGTGTCGCAGCATCGGACCTTTAAGTGGGGATGAATCATCTTCTTCATTTATATGTATTTGATACAGTAGATCAATTATTTATATTTTTTGAAATTTTAGGCACCGTAACTTTGATTATTTGAGAGTTTTCTGGATCCTATTCTCCATTGATAAGCACTTGATGCAGTAGATCAATTATTTATATTTACTGGATTTTAGGGCACCGTAACCTTGATTATTTGAGAGCTTTCTGGACTTTTTTTATCTATCGCTACTGTTCGACTAGAAGTATATTATTCTCCCTTATTTTGTTCCTCTATTTATCTTAGAATTTTTTTTCTGTCACGGGTGTCCATGTATTGTTATTGTTATGGCTACTACTGTTGAAATCTCTACTGTTAGTACTTTCACCTGGAATGTACCTCCGAGTTCTCGTCAGTGTGATTGTTGTGGCCGGCCAGGACATATCAGGGCTACTTGCTGGAAGTTCTATTCAGAGCTTAAGTCACCTCCTACTTGGAATGTACCTCTTGGTTCTCATCAGTGTAATTATTGTCGCCGACCAGGACATCTCAAGGCTACTTGTTAGAAGTTCTATCCAGAGCTTAAGCCACTTTCTCGCAGTCGTACTGCTGCTATTGTTGAGGTACCACCATCTACTGCTGCTGCTCCTTCTTGGTAGAGCGATATGGATGCTATCACTTCCCAATTGAATATATTTATGTCTGCCCTGACTTCTCAGGGCTTCGACTACTACTACTGTCACCACTACAGGTATACCTCGTGTCTCTCATGCTTGCACCAGTCTGTCTTCCCTTTGGATGTTGGACTCGGGTGCGAATGGTTATATGACATGTAAGGCCCATCATTTCACCACTGTTGACGAGTAATTACATACATAGGTTCAGCTAACAGATGAAACACATGCCCCTATTGTTAGTAGGTGTATAGTCTGCCTCTCAGATTGTTTTACATTATATTCGATTTTTCATGCGCCGAAACTGACCATGAATCTATTATCTATACATCAGTTAGCCAGAAATTTTCACTATGCGGTTGTATTTTTTTCTAATTCGTGTTATTTGCAGGACCTAAGTATCAGGAGGATTATTATCAGGGAACATGAGAGAGATGGACTGTATTATCTAGGCAATCCACCTTTAGTTTCACCAGTTCCTCCATCTTCATCACTTGCACCTACTTTTTCTTTATCTGTTCCTAGCTTGCATGCTAGTATTTTGTCTAGTACTTGTCGTTATGATTTTTCATCACAAACTGTTCAGTTGTCGCATAACCGTTTTGGGCATACAAATTTTAAATATTTATGTATGTTATTTCCTACTTTGATCAATGTTTGTGTTGGTGGTAAATTTGACTGTGTTATATGTTATCTATCGAAACATGTTTGGACCAGTTATATTCCTCGCCTGCACTAATCACCCAAGTCATTTGATCTGATACACTCTAATATTTGGGGACCCTCTCCTTTTACTGTTCTGTCAGGTGTTTTATACTATGTAACATTTATAGATGATCATACCTGTTGTGCTTGAGTCTACCTTTTGCATAGAAAATTTGATGTACTCTCTGTTATCACTCAGTTTTTTCAGATGATTAAGACACAATTCGATATCATTGTTCGTGTTCTTCGTTCGGATAATGCCAAAAAATATGTGTCTGATGTGTTAGTGTCTCACATTTCCTCTCATGGTATCCTTCAGCAACTCACTTGTCTATATACTCCTGAGCAAAATGGAGTTTCTGAAAGAAAAATAGGAGTCTAATAGGGATGGTACGTTGTATGCTTAGAGTTATAGAAATACCAAAATCTTATTGGCATTTTGCTATTTTGACTTCTACCTTTCTATGTAATCGTGCACCGAGTCATGTTCTTCAGCATAGGGCTCCCTTACAGGTCTTATTTCCTGAGTGAACACTTTTTTCGGTCCTCTCTCGTGTTTTTGGCTGCACATGTTTTGTTCAGGATCGGTCTCCTACTCGACATAAGCTTGATGATAAAGCGATTTGTTGTGTCTTTGTAGGCTATTGTCATCAATCTAAGGGGTATCGGTGTTATGATCTTATCAGGCGCCGTATGTATCACAGTCTAGATGTTACCCTTTTTGAGCACATTCCTTATTTTTCTTCCAATCCTGTGTCTGCCCCCTCCAGTTGATGATACTCCTTTTGATTTTCTATTATCACAAGAGCCAAAGTCATTGGTCACTATCACTACAGAGTCATTAGTCTCTCCTCCTCTAGAACAACTCGTCCATGTTAGTACAGAGTTACCAGTGTCTTTTCCTTTGCAGGTTTATGTTTGTCGCCCTCGCTCTTATCCCCCTGCTGATGTCCCCTCTACCTCAGGCAATGCAGGTCATACTTCTCAATTCGTTAAGCATATTGATGCACCTGTTGTTAGTACTGATGAGATTAGAGGTACTGAGCTAGTTACTTTCCCTGATAAGACATTGTCAGTGGAGGATGATGATTTAGGGCGTCGTTATCCGTAGCGTGATCGTCGTTCAATTGTTCGTTATGATTGGACTGCTAGGACTATATATTCAATCTCTGCTTATATTTTTTATGGTAATTTGTCTCCTACATTTCGAGCTTATAGTATGGCCTTATCAGATATGTCGGTTCCTCGCTCTGTTTCAAATGCTATAAGGGAGCCCTAGTGGGTTCTTGCCATGCAAACGGAGATGGACGCTCTGCAGCGTAATCATATGTGGGATCTTGTCTCTTTACATTAAGGGGTGAAGCATGTTTGCTGTCACTGAGTTTACACCCTGAAGTTTCTTGCGGATGGTACTATTGATCGTCACAAAGCTAGGCTTGTGGCGAAGGACTTTACTTAAGTACCAGGTCGTGATTTTGGTGCTACTTTTGCCCCCATGACAAAAATTGACTATTGTTCGATTGATTATTTCTCTAGCTGCGGAGTACTCTTGGTCTCCCCATCAGTTGGATGTGAAGAATGTATTTCTTCATGGTAATCTGGACGATATTATTTATATGGATGCACCACCAGACTTTCGTGGTGAGGGGAGTATGTTGGAAAGGTATGTCGACTGCGTAAGTCTCTTTATGGACTGAAACAGTCACCACGAGCCTGGTTCTCTAGCTTTAGTGATGTAGTTGTACGTTTAGGGTTCACCAGATAACATTCTGATCATACCTGCTTCATTCGAAGAAATACTTCTAGACAGTGTGTTATCTTTTTGGTATATGTTAATGATATTATTATTACTAGAGATAATGTTTTTTGGGACTGCGCAGGTCAAGGTAGACCTTGGGAAGGTCTTTGATGTAAAGGACCTTGGATTTTTGTCATACTTTCTTGAGATTGAGGTTGCCCGTAGCAACAGGGGTATTGTTCTTTCTCAGAGAAAATATGTTCTGGATCTTCTCTCAGACACTAGGATGTTGGGGTGTAAACCGGCATCATCACCCATGATTCCAAGCCTGAAGCTTATTGTTGAAGGTGGGGAGTTGAGAGATCCGACTATCTATCAAAGGTTGGTAGGTAGACTTATCTATCTAGTCAACACTAGGCCAGACATTTCATTCGCTATTAGCCGAGTTAGTCAATTCATGCACAGACCATGTCAACCTCATCTTGATGTAGTTTATCATATTCTTCGGTACCTCAAGTCTTGTCTTGTACTTGGGTTGTTCTATGCATCAGGATTTCAGACTGATTCTCTAGCCTGTTATTTAGATTCAGATTATGAGAGAACGTGTGACGATCGATCTACTACGGGCTTCTGTGATTTTCAATAGACTCATCTTATCTCTTAAAAGAGTAAAAAGCAGTCAGTTGTCTCTGACTCGTCAGTAGAGGCAAAGTATCGGGCACTAGCACTTGGTACTTGTGAGATTATCTAGCTACGATCGATTATTGACGAGTTGGGATTTTCAGTGACTTCTTCATCTATATTATATTGTGATAATCGATCTACTATGCAGCTCACTTTTGACTCTATATTACATGAGAGGACGAAGCATATAGAGATCGATGTTTACATTCTTCAAGAGAAGGTTAACAGTGATATTGTCACTCTATCGTTTATGGGGACTAGTGATCAAATTGCAAATATTTTCACCAAACCTGTCACTCTATCCATTCTTTGAGATTCCGTTGTCAAACTTGACTTAGTTAACATTTTTACGCCAAACTTGAAGAGGAGTGTTAAAATATTGTAACTTAATTTATTAGGATTTACTATATTTTTTCATTTTTAACCTTTTTACCCTTATTATATTTTCATCGACTATATATTCGAAAATTTACACTTATAGCTTGTATCCCTCTTTTACTTACCAATCCATCAAGTTGTAGTATTCATGCTACTGTCGGTCAAATTCAAAAATTTACATCGGTTAAACAACGAAATAAAATTAGGAATTAAACTGAACAGCAAAGAATGATGCACTGGTTCTATCTAGTTCCAGTCAGTACTATAGAACTGACGAGCTGCACCAAGTTCGCACATTTATATACGGATCATGGAAAAGAATGTTTATACAGGACCAGAAAAACAGCCAAGGATAGCCTCTCGTTTGATATGGAGAATGCACAATCACTACAAAACAATATTTTACAGCAAATGTATGGTACTTTAGTCATTTATAGGATGAACAAGCTACGGAAGTTAAGTCTTCAGATTCTTTTCGTACCCTCACACCTTTGTGCCTCGGGCATCAAGAACGCAGGAGGGGGTAAAAATTGTAACAGTAGATGTAACATCTTCGATTACAGCCTGGATCCATGTTCTACTCTGTTCCATTGTGTGCCAAGTAGCTAACCACCTAATGAGTTGCCACAGTGATTCTCAGTTTCCATTGGTAAAAGTTCGGAATGCACTTGACGAACAAACTGTCCTTTCACCCGAGGACGCTGCTCGGCAAGTTTTTTTCTGCTTTCATATCGTACCTGTGAAGAAAATTCTTGAGTTAACAATGTGTAGCTCAGAGACAAACAGTATCCGATCTGCAATTATGCGCTCATAAGATGTCTAGCATAATTTCAATTTCTGGAATTTGTGTGTTCATCTTAATCTTAGATTTAATGTCTAATCTCAAAACAATAATTAACAAAGCTCAGAAAATTTGAACTGTAGTAGTTCCCAGAATGAAAGTAATAATGTGCCAGTTCACTACAGCACAATCATCTCCTAAGATAGAAATACATTAATAACATCAAAACATGATATAACAGCAACAAAAATTTGGATCCCATTCAACCATATCGAGAAACATATGCCAAAATTTCATTCTACCTTGAAAAAGTGCGATCCTTCAAGAAAATGTTTCCAAAACAAAGGATCAGGAAAACAATACCCTATTCATTTTTGTCCATAGGGCATTATTTACATAGGCTCCGACAGGTGCTATGATTATCAAGTTCTGATTATATTTCCCGCAAGAAAACATAAGAATGAGATTATGTTATCACCCTGAGGTACTTTGCCCCAGGTAAACCTTGGATCATGTTCAATCCAAGAACCAGGCGTATCTACACTAGCTCATGTTCCATAACCTAGGTGCAAATGTGAGTTATGGTGGTTGTCATATACCTTTTTCTCATAGCATCTGTCCTTCCGCTTCAACCGGAATTTGGTTAGAGCTGCTTCTCTTTGTATAGATCTCTGACAGTTTCCATCTTGAATGGTCAAATCTTCATTCCCACATTCAGATGCATCCCTGATGGCCAGAACTGGATTGGCGTCACCATTGCTTGTACAACCAATGCTGTTGAGATGGCTCACAGATCCATTACAAAAACTGCTACTTGCACTCTGATCAGTGGCAGAAGAAAGATGAGCTGTATCTTCCAAGGTTTCCAATTTGTGCAACTGCTTCTGCTCGATTTGCTCATTGATATTGTTAGCTTTTTGATCCATCAGATGATAAAGCTGTTGAGGGTTTCTGGTTGCAGCATTGAATGGATGAAATGGATTCATTTGAAATGAGGCTTCTGGATTGCTAGCTGAACCAGGACTTGGAGTTGGTGACAGGCCTGATTGTGTACAAAATATTGGAGACATCACAGAACCATAAGCGGTTTGTAGATTCTCAAACCTCATACCTCTTACTGGAACAGGAAATACACTCTGTTGAGGGCTAAGAAATGACATTGCAGCCTGTCCAAGTTGACCAGTAGCCAGAGCAATCATACTTTTCGGGGAACTTACTGTTGGTCCATAAGTGTCAGAATTGTAATCAATGGTGTGATTGGATGACTTTTTATCAGAAATAGCTTCATAGTCTTTATGTTGATTGCAAATGCTTGGGGATGTTGAATGTAGGGGCTGCAATGTCCTGTTAATGTACCTGCATTGATGATTTTTAAATCAATTAGAACCCCATCTCAAGTTTCAGACTACTTATAGAAGTCGCAACAACATACAAGCATTCCCTTACAGCAACACCTCCCCATTCCATGCACACTGCATGTGTGTGTGTGTGTGTGAGAGAGAGAGAGAGAGAGAAGAGCCAAAAAGACTAAGGGTCCACAATGGAAATTCACCGTGAAAATGCTGACGCATCAGAGTGGTTCAACCTATGCCTCTCATCTGTAATTTGATTCACAGAGCTACTGGGATGAGACCTTCTCAAGGAAAGATCCAATAGTGGTGAAGACTCAACCTTGTTTGCATTATTGTACAAACCAGAGCTTCTGTAATTCCATTTGTGGTAATTATCAAATGCCCCAATTAAGTCAATGGCTTCTCCAGAAGAGATAAAAACAGGATTGTTATCACAAGCTTGACTAATTGGATTAGTCTGTTCACGTTGACTATCAGGATCCATGTCTTCTCCCTGATAAGTGGCATTATCGTCTTTGCCTGCAGCCGCCACTGATCCTAAGTTTTTGATCATGGCGTTCCAAAATGTCAGATACATCCTACTAGTGCAGCTGAAGGAAGGTGTAAATATTATGAAGATGAAAGATTAAGAAAACATGTATTTTACCCCCAGCTTCACAGTCTAGTGTTGGCAACTTCATACTCGCTTTCAAACATTCTTCTTGTTCTTGTACAGATTTGTTCTGTTTGGCCGGTGAGAGATCCTTCATATGCTCCATGTGTGCTTTCTCTGCTTCCAAATCTGGTTTAGTACAAGAGCTCTGCACAAAGAGACAGCAAACAAACAAGCTTCCACATGAACTCCATTGCACTGAACAGGAGAAACAAAATAAAGATATATATAATGCATAGACAAAATATAAATATAATTACTAAGAGTAGTTATGAAAATAAGCCAAGTGGAAATGAAATTGTTCTGCTATCATTCTACATAAAAAATTAACTAATTTTTTGTTTGTTTGTGAGATGGTATCATGGTACCAATATTACATTCTGAAATACCTTGTACATAATATTTAGAGTCAATAACTGTTGGAAAGAGACTTTTTTATCTGTCAAACTAGAACTGATAACTCGTTCAGGATATTCAACCCACAGGAATGTATAAGACCTTTTGAAGACTCTTTTACCTTTCCAAAAGAGAAATCAAATCTTAATAAATAATTTTATTACTTTGTCTCATCAATTCAAAGCAAAACAATACCTCGCTCACTTATTTTAAAAATTCAATTTTTCAAAGTGCTTTGCCGTTTTTATGTGATCATGTATATAAGTGGTTACTTTGAGGCATTAACAGGTAGGCTTCATTCGTGAATTGGTCTTACTTAGCCAGTTTATACCAGTTCCATCCTGCTCATTGTGTGCTCTACTATATTGCTACAGCAAAACCAAATGGATGATTTTTTCTTTCCATCGGATGCCTAAAAGTTCTTTCACCAACTGTCTCTAAATAGAATTGTATCATTCAACATAATTGTCAGAAGGAATTCCATGTACTCGTTAGATAAAAGTTGAATACACCAAAAAAATACATGGCATAGATTCTTACAGAGATGCCATACTAAATTAAGCACAGGTAATTCATCACAAAATGCCTTGAAGAATGACAATGGTACCTGAGCATCGCTCCCTTTTTCAATGCACTCCCTATTTCTCTGAATACAAACCATATATCCACTTGAATGATTACTAGAAGCATTGTTTTCTGCAGTGGCTTCGACCTTTTTCTGTGCAACACTCTCATCCAGTGGCCCATGTGCACTACCACTTGACTAAAAGGAAAATCCAAAACAAAACAAGATTGAATCAGTATGCTATGTCAAGTCAACAAGAAAGCCATCAATTGTGAAAAATGTTAGCCAAGGGTAAGGGTTAAACTTACAGCTTGTCTCCTCCAGACATGCTGCCACAAGTTCCTCAGCTCATTTTTCCTAACAGGCTTGACAAGGAAGTCAGCGGCACCTTTCAACATGCATTTATAAACTGTACTAACTGAATCATGAGAGGACATCACTGCATGATCAGGAAAGACATGTTAAACCATATTTAAAAAAGAAATTTCAGAAAAGTAGAGAATGTACACCAGAAGTTTGATTAACTATATCATACTTATAACAGGAATATTTTTGCAGATATCATGCTCCATAATCAAGGTAAGAAGTGCGTATCCAGAGATTGATGGCAGATCCTCCTCTGTCAATATGAGGTCTATCTTATTTGGTCTTACTTTGAGTATCTCCCATGCTTTTAAGCCATCAGGAACAGCAGCAACTGCTCAAACACAAAACATAAACTGTTTCAAGTTCCAGAAGGGATTTACAATCAAAAATAGGGAAAAAAAAAAAAAGTGAAAGTGGAGTGCAAAACATAGAACATAGCAGAAGTGAAGTTTTATGAATGTTATTAAAATACTCGTGAACTTAATAAGGTCTTGACCATACTGTATGGAGTCAACCACACAGATTTTGTTTCACTAATCAACGGGTATCTTGGACAAAGACCAGATTTACAAACTCATTGAAGATGAACTCCCTGCCCTCGAGTCAATATGCTGAGCCCGTGGAAGACATAAAACACACATTTGAGATAACTTCTACGTGTACTCCCATCATTCTTTTGAACTTCTTTATCGATTAAAAAGATAACAAGTGTATGAAAAGAAAGAAGGAGATGAGGGAGCACAAAATGTGATTTAAATACAAGTTTTGGTACCATAATAGAAGACTACAAGAATCGCATTCTTTAGCAACTGTATTTATCAAATTAGCAAGCAAAAGGGCAGAGCTTGATATGTGGCACTTCCCTAAAGGATAGAGGCATATTTAAGTTAGAAGGATCTCTACGCATTCAGAGCGAGTCATTGCCGTTATTCTTACATCGTCAGAAGTCCATTAACAAACATTACAACACAAGTGGATGCTGGTAGATTAATAACAAGACGGTTTTTGACAGACACTGAAGTTGAAAAGCCCCCTTAAATTCCAGGAGCGAACGGTAATGTATAAACTTTATAAATGTACTCGAAACAAGGATAGAACATGGAGTAATGGCGGAATATATGGAATTGAAAACTCAAAATCGTCAAAGAAATAGTAACTATCAATAAAACTTTGATTAGGAAGACCGGATGTAATCCACTAGGATTGATCAATCTCTTCGAAAAGGGCTTATCTACTTCCTTGTTATCCCTTGGTAACACGATAGGAATCCAAAGCAGCCATTTTGCTGCTTCTAACAGAAATAGTCATGTACTTACTTTGCATAAAATTCTGGAATTTGAAGTTTTGCAGGTTAGGGGATAAAAAGCTTTCTCTCCTCTCTCTGTTTCGATTAGATTTTGAAGAAAAAATTCAGTTTGAAAGGCTGTCCAACACACACCTAAAACGCAAAATGAAACCATTTTTTCCTTAATTTCTATGAGAGCTGAAATTAGCTGGAAAACGGAAGGAAACCATTACTCATACCTAAACAGACAAAGACCTCGTCCCAATTCAAATAACCATACTCTTAATATCAAGCTTGAACACTACAAAGTTTCGAAACAACCCACGAATTTCCTTCAAGTACTTAACCTAAACGAAGCAATCGAGCTCTACAGAGAGTAAAGCAATAACCTTTGTAACTGCATTTTCTGAGGAGGGCTGCAATAATTTGTCGAGTCGAATCATCGGCTTCGACCAGCAAAACTCGTAAAACCATACGAGGTAGAAACCTCTCCCACCTCACCACAGACGGATTAGCCGATGAACCCTCTTCTTTCTTCTTGGTCGGCGTCTCCATCTCTGGTTCCATCTCCATCTCTGTTTCTCTCACTTCCAATTCCATTCCACCTCCGCTGCTCACCACCAAATCACCCATTTTTCTCTCTCCAAAAAATTCATAGGAGAATACTAATATAGCATAGCCTAGCACCAGTGAGGACGCAGAAAGAGAGAGAGAAGCAGTTTAGTTAGTGGTGACTGGTGAAGGAGGAAGGCAAAAGTCTTGCTTAGTGTCTAATCCTCTAAAACACCATTTTCCACCCAAAAATATCTGAAAAATGGAAGACCCGTGTTACATGATCTGGCGATTAATATTCCAAGTCCAGCTAGCAACCTCCTCAAATCCTAGCCGCTCATTTTATCCTAAGAAAATATCTCTTTATTTATCCCAAAATATCTATCCGGATGAGATAATATTCGATAATTCTATATCAACACTAATGTATTGCACAAGTAAAAATCTAACCAATCTATATATCTATTTATCATCCACGCCCGTTCATGCACACTATGCCACAATTACATCAACTATATCTAACAAATTACAACTTATTTTGCATGGAGCCAAACAGATCATGAGACATCAAAGTAAAGTCTAGCATGCATTGCTAGACGTGACAACAAAAACAACAGGGATTGATCAAATCTGATAGAGTAATAACACCTAGCACAGCATTTTCAATAATGAAAATTAGTGCTTGACCCTCGAAGCCAACGAGAGATGCATGGCAAGCGGGACTAACGCAAGATTCAAAATAGATAAAATGAACATCATTTGAATAAAAGCAATGTTATGTTGATTAAATTTAATAATTAAATTTATAGCTCAAATAACATGACAACATATTATTTAGAATATTTATTGTGACTCAAATGACATGATATCAAATAAAAAAGTCTAATTCAACTGTTATGTCATTTTAAATTTGATCCTAAAATTTAGTCAGTAACATTACTCTTTGCATAATTATTAGCTTAAATGGAAAAAGAGTGAAAGGAGTGAATAATTTATATAGACAAAAAATTATTGATTTGTGTGGAATTTATTTTTTTATGTCTGTATATTATTAATTAATAATATTATATAACAATATTAACGTAATAATATCGTGTTATAATAAATATTCTTAATGTGGGAAAAGGGACGTGTGTGGCCCAAAATGGCCACGTCACCCTTCAATTAAAAAAGTAAAGGCTCGTTAGCCACCACTCTTCCTTCTGGTTGGTGGTTCAAAACGTAAAGTATTATTTGATTTTATCTAACTTCATTTTCTGACGAAACATTCGGTAGCTGTGTGGGGCCCACAAGGGGAAGATATTTTTGTGAGACCTCAGATCTTATGGATAGGACCTTGACACGTGGCAACTCCACTTGATACTTTTTATTTGTGGCTTCCATGTTGTCTGAGTGCCAATCTCTTTTATTTCTCCGTAAAGCAATCTTTTTAATCCCTCTACTCTCTGAAGGTGTGAAAATCACTTGTACTCGCTTCTCCATTGGTTATAGAAAAAACGTTGTGAAGTGAAATTACTAGGAAGCCCTCCGTTGGGGCGATCTAGATAGCTGCGAGTGGAGTAAGGGGAAAAATATCTGGTGGACCCCACAACATTAAGTTTTGGGTGGGGATCAGCGTTGGGGGGTGTTGCATATAGTTTGCAATATCCAACGGCCAATGGTTGCTTACTTTCTTACACCCATATGATGGTCTGGTTTGTTTTGGACGTAAACAAAATCTAACGTGGCCAAAGATTCGGGATGTTCAAATTTCGATTTTTCGAATATTTTGACCTTAATTGTAATAAATTGTTTAGATAAGCGAAAGAAATTTTGGTATTTTTTAAAAATTTGATAAAAATATAGAATATTCATAATTCCTACCTATAGAATAAGATGACCACCCTTATCAAGATGTGTCCCATTGGCATATGTTTCCCATTTGTTCGACCATGACTTATGTCGATTTGTTTTCTCCAACTCTTTAAACTCATGTCGGTATCACATATGTAAAAGATATTTAATCTTTATGAATAGTTTTAATGATAATAAGGACGAGTTGTAAATTTGAACATTATGAGTTCGAATCTTATGAATATGCATTCAAAATACCCTAATCTTAACATGAATGATCTGTTTTTGACCAGACTAAAGAATAAATTAATTAAAAAAAACATGTAAAAGATATTAAGCTAGCATTAAATCCAAAATATGTTTTTTAGTATTGGCAAAAATAAATCACTTAGTAAAAATTCAAGTAAGAACTATTATGTATCTGTGTAACTCTCACCAACCAGCATCAAAAAAGTTTTGAAAAAAAAAAAAACATACCAGAGGAAATTTAAACTCTTTAAAATAAGAAAAAAAACTATGTTAAACTATGTTCAAGTTAGTTCAATACCAGATAATTGTTCATTTTATGTTGGTCCAAGCCAAATCACGAGATACATGTGTTTATATAAGTCTCCTAATTAGGCATCGATCATAATCCAAACCTAAAGGCGTCGATTAGGTTATTTTATTTATACTTGTTTTAAGAAAATCATTATAGCACCCTTACTATGTAAATTTATTCTTGGATCACATTCTCATTCCACAATTGACAATAAGAATGTAAAAATAGAAATATAATAAACAAGAAAGACATTGAAAAACAAAATAAAACCAAATCGTTAATTTGAATATAAATATTGGTTTAAAATTTCTCTATGAGCTTGTTGATCCACTAAAAAATGTCAATCTTAAAGATATCAATTAAGCTATTTATTCGTAGAAATACGAGAAGAATAGAAAAAAAAAATTATCCCAATTTTATTAACTCAACTCCAAGCCTCTTTGCCCTAAGGCTTACCAGAGTTTATATGATAGTGTAAACCTAAACCAACTAGGACACATAAAACACGTGAGTTAATTGACATTAAACACATAATAGATTATTATTAAACATTTTTGCCAAAAAAAAGAAAGTTTTCAATTTATTCACTTTTATTTGATTGATCCATTTTAACCTTAAAAATTATGTACATTTACATACAATTAACAACAAGGATTGGGTAATTCTAATGGTAACTAAAGTGGTACCAGAAACAAGTTATAAACTCAGACGTTCTAAGTTTAAATCTTAACAATTTCTTGGAGTTAGGTTATGAATACCCTAATTCTAGCATGAATGATCTGCATTTGAGTGGATCGAGAAAGGGATTAGTTGAGATACGCATAAATTTGCCCAAACACCCCAAACCATTGATTAAAAAATAGGGTTTTTTGCTGTGAGTACAATTTTTTAAACTTATTTGAGAAAAAATATATGGATGAGTTGTTTATTCTATTAAGTTCAATTTTAATAAAATATATTGTGTTTAGGTAAAAAAATTCAAATGAAATCAAAATTGTTTTCCATAAATACCCTCCTTTAAATTATGTATTATTAATTGGCAATTATATATCTAATCAAATATGTAAAAATTTCATTAGACTCTCTCACTATCTCTCACCTATTTTCTCTTCATCTCTCTCTATCCCCATTACTTTCTCCATATCTCTTCTATTTTCTCTCTATTTATATTAACATTACAACAATACAATTACAGTAATCAGTTACATCAATAAGTTATAATTGTCTTATAATACACCAAACAATTACTCATATATTCTAATAAATCAAACAGTTACACCCAACCATTACACAAATCTATAATATCAACTTAATTTATCATTCAGTTGTTTACATAAATTAAATAATTGTATTATTTAGTCTTGTGACATCGTTACATCAATTATATATACCAAATTTAATATAATGGTAAAGTCTTTTGTGTAATGATAGACTCAATTTAGTGTATATAATTGGTGTAACCATGTCATGACACTAAATGATGTAACTCTTTAATTTATATAAATAACTAAATGATAAATTGAGTTTGTATTGTAATTTCGTATAATTGTTTAATGTAACTGTTTGGTTTATTATAATACATAACTAACTGTTTGGTGTATTATAGGATAATTGTATCTAATTTGTATAACTGATTAGTGTAATTGTGTTATTTGTAACGTTGATATAAGAAGAGAGAAAAAGTGAGAGAATAAGGAAACAATGGGAGAGACAATGAGAGAAAGAGAGAAAAAATTAAATCATATCTTTATATATTTAAAAAAATTAAATTATCAATATGATAGAAAAAGAGACAAATAGGAAAGAGAGAATGAGAGAGTAATGGAGAGATAGAATAATGGAGTAATAAATACCCTTTTAGTGCACTTTAGCCAAATAAGTTTCTTTAATGTAATTTAGTTCAAATAATTCTAAATTTTTATATCAATTTTCAAATTACCCAAAGAAAAAAAAACGAGGACCGGGTCGGAATAGGCTAGCCCCTACAATCTCACTCCAGCCTAAAATCTGATTGGCCCAAACTTTTATGGTGGGCCTAGTTCTATGAGTCTATTTCTAACCCGTATCAGATCTCGGTGTGGACAGTGATTTCGTTCCAGGCCCACAAATCCAGAAAATCATCGTTGGAATCTGAACTCGATAATGAACTAAATTTGCCGCGTCTGACCTTCAAATCGCTCGCTCCAACAGCTCGGATTACCCTCGCTCTCTCTCTTCTTCAAAGTTCGACCACGCTTGTAGATCGATATGCAAAACCCTAGTTCATAGATAGTGTATGGTTTGTTTTTGTGTGTGTGTTTTCAAAAAAACTTGAAGTGATTCAGGCAGATGAAGATGGGGAGGAAGTTGAGGAAGATTACGGAGAAGGTGAGACACGAACTAACCATCCTTCGTGTAAGTAAATCTTTTATCTTTCCTTTTTTTTTTTTGTCCTCCATCTAGATTTACACGTTTTCAATTTGCTATGATTATTTCCTGTGTTAATTCGGTGCTCAACCTGTTTAAACCTCTGCTACCAAGATTTCATTTATTTAAGAAGTAGCTAAGTTTGCTTATATAACTGGTAGCAATTTGTGTAGCTCTGGATTTTTAGTTTCTATATCATTTGTCTGACGAACCCAAAATTCCTGTGCTGCAGTGCTTCTCTGCCTGATTACTAACTGTTTAATTCGGGCAACCGGTGGTCCACTGAACTCATTGGGTAAACTTTAACAAGACTATTCCAATTAACAAGACTATTGGTAGAATGAAAAGATTGGAGTATGTGAGAAAACTTCTTATTTGCTTTGTTTTAGTTTGGAATCTTCACATAGATCTCACATATTGATCATCATTCATATTCAATATAGTAGTACTACAAATAGAAATTCGATATGCTATGCTACTTATGGATAGTGTTTAATGATAATCTACATAAAATTCGTAAGTTCAGTTCTCACTGATATGGGAATTTTTACTTCATACATCCTGTCAGTCCACGTCAAGCTCCCAAAACAGTACCCTGTGCTGACCTGGTGACTTGTGGAAATCGTGATGGTGAAGGAGATGGTCTTGATCTCAGAGGTGAAGATCAAATACTCAGGTGTTATTGCTATGATAATTCCCAGTGGAGGCTTGATTACTGCTTTGTATTTGGAATTTGCAGCTCCAACATTTGTCACGGTTCTCCTGAGAGTGATCGAGTCTTTGAGGCTTGGTATGGTTACAGAAGGAAGGTTCACATCTAGAATTGAGGGTACTCTGCTGGGGCAGAATGTGGCTTGTTGTGTAAGCCGAGCTATGGAAGTATCATCATACTTCATGGCACAGAGATAGTGAATGTAATCTGCTATGCCCATGTCATATATAAGACCAGGATCCTGTGCTCTGTTAGGGTTCACGATTCCACCTCCAAAATCAAATGGATCAGCAAGCTTTATCGGGTCTCCCTCTGCAAAAATTGGTTCTCTCCAAGGATCGGTCGTCCATGCTGCATTGGTTTGAAATATACATTCCAGTCAAGGGCTGTGAAATCAACCTCAGTGTACACGTTGAGGAATTTTGTAGTTCTGGAAATGGGTTATTAAATAACCTGTTGTGACAATTGCTGACTTGATAGCTGCTGGAGACCAATCTGGGTGCAAGGATTTGAGAAGCGCAACAATGCCTGAGACATGAGGGGTTGCCATGGATGTTCCAGATAGAAAATCAAATGCATTATTCATGGTTGGATCAAAAGGAGGAACTGCTGCCAATATTTTGACTCCTGGAGCTGCTACGTCTGGCTGTGCCATACAGAAGACAATATGGGCTCTAATTAGCAAGTTTCAATATGTTACATGTAAACAAAGTCCTGTAACTTGATTTGGCTAACAGCCATGCTAGGCAGTGTGATACCTTAAGCACTGCAGGGGCAACTGAACTGGGACCTCGAGATGAGAAGTATGCCACATTGGTTGACACAGGTTTACCGACATGTGTTTTGGAGGGTCTTAGCCTCACCTGTGGATACCTGCATGGCTCCTAACAGTCACCTTATACATGAATAAGGAGAAGAAGAAGAAGAAGAAGGTGAGGACAACAGTTGTAGTGGTAAAGCTGACAATGTTACCTGGTTGAACGGATGTAATATAGTATCTGAGTACCAAGTTCGTAGCTTACTTGAACACATGGAAAGTCAACGCTGGATGAATATAGAATGTTACTGGGATTCTTAGCAACGATTATCCCCATACCACCAGCCCCTTGGACTGCCCATTCAGCGATCTCCACAAAATTCTGGTTGATGTCCAAAGTGAAGCAGAGCACCACATTTCCAGCCATTGAAGTGTCATTTGGTGAAAGGGATTCACAATAACTATAAAAACACCAGGTAATGAATGTGTGCTACGTATAAAAGAAAATATATTACACAGTATATTGAATTGACTTCAGCCTAATCAAAGAAAGTAGGTGTGACTCTTGATTGTCAATGTCTGGATTTTATATTTCTGTTGTAGACTGGATCCTGTCAACAATGCACCATCCAAGAGGTGTAACCCATGGTGGATTCCTGGCCGAAGGTATTGAAGGGGTCTATTTTACAAACATGAAATTTACTTGTGCAAAACCAGCACGGTGCTATCTTTAGGATATATACCGAGGCATTGCAAGATCAGAGACCTCTGGGTACATCAAGCTGATGAAGCCAGTATCATTTCCTGTAAACATGGCTCGACCCTACAAATAATAACTGCTGATCATTGTAACCGAGGGAACTGTAATTGTGAGACTAACAGATTTTCCACCCTTTTATTTATCTTTCCTGTTATGCAGTGATAATTCAGGCTATAGAGAACTTACCATGAATGTTTGGTTGTTTCCAAGTGTGATGGGTGTAGGAAATGACCGGTCAACTGTGCTGGCTCCAACAGTTAAAATCCATGGTGCTGTGTTCTGTACTGTTTGAGCACCTGGCCCTGAATTTCCAGCTGCACAAACAACGGTTATCCCATTTGCAACAGCATGAAATGAACCAAAAGAAATTGCATCACGGCTGTCAATTTCAGAGAACGAGGGTAAATCTGAGCTAATGGACAGTGATAAAACATCAACTCCATCGTGTATGGCTTCATCAAAGGCTTTCAATATATCTGCAGATGCACATACTCCACCATCCAAATTCCAGCACACTTTATACATAGCCAGCCGAGCCCGGGGTGCACCACCCCTAACTGTGCCAAGACCGAGTCCATTATAGCTCACATTGGTCACAAAAGAGCCACCTGCAATGGTAGATGTGTGTGTGCCATGTCCAATTGAATCTCTGGAGGACATGTACTCCTGCTCTTCAGTAGTATTGTATGGCCGCCCATACTCGGCTTGGAAACCCTTGATGAAGTGACGAGCTCCTATTAGTTTCCTGTTACAGTTCTTTGCTGCGTTGAAGAGCTCCCCTGACTCACAAAAACCCTTCCATCTGGAGGGGATTGGCCCCAGGCCTTCATCGCTGAAAACTTCAGATTCCGGCCATATCCCTGCTCATCAACTAGCTGGCGTAAAATGAAGGTATATAATTGTGCGCATCTTTGCATATAATCCACGGGCAGACATGTTATAACTCACTTGCGTTTATAGATACACATACACATACATACATAACATGCGCACACACACAGTGAAAAAGAGAGCAACCTGTGTCAAGGAGACCAAGTACGACACCATCGCCCATTTCAGTTCTATGCAGAAGATTCGAGGGAGAATGTGACGAGAGGCCAAGGTAATCCCAGCTCCTAGTTGTTTGCAGCTTGTAAAGGCGATTAGGAATGACTTGAACCACACCAGGTAACTCTAAGACCAATGAATACATTTTAGGAGAAAACATAATGCAATGTAAATAACTTAACAAAATACTTCAATATGTAGCATCTGTTAGGTTTAATATTATGTTTCTCAAATTCTGTTCCTTCCTGTGTTGCCCTTATCTATAGCTAAGTGCGTGGGATCGGTCCTCTAACTGACTCAAGCACCAGATAAGTGGTTTGGACTGAAGAAGAGAGGAAAGGGAATTGCATAATCTTAGTTTTAACTTTTATTTGCCGCCTCCGGGTATGGTCATATATTTTAAACATGTTGAATATTTTTTGGGTATATCTTTTGCTCGTAGATTCTACTAGTTTCCCTGCTTGGTAGTGTGCCACTTCTGCCTGTGAATTTGGTTTTCACTTAGTAGTCAAACTTACCATGTAGTTATTTGCTTCACAAAAATGGGGAAAGGAACAAGAAAAATCATGGTAGTTAGGATGTGACCTTGTAAGAGCTCAAAAGTGACTTTAACATCGAAAATCACCTACATTCCGTGAAATTGACCATTTATGGGATCTCAGCATTCTGAATGTAAAAAATACCCGAAGCCATTTGTGCCTGAGACTCGGTCAACTTGGCTGCAAAACCAGAGAAGCCATTTTTATAACTGTAGACCATGAAATCTGCAGCTGCTTCTTTGCTGCATCAAGATTAATGCAGTCATAAAAGTCGATAAAATAATATAATGGTTTATATGGCAATTGAGGACATTAAAAGAAACATTGAACATGTTTGTATTTTCTATATTAACCTTCCCAGCACTGTACTGAGCATTTCATGATGGGTGTATGTGATGTGCTTGGGATCATTATCCTGTCTTTCTCCCATATAAACAATATGAACCTGTTAATCAGTTACAATTGTTGGTGAATCTCAAGACACGCAAAGTTCATTCCAAGATGAAAAAGAAAATTTAACATTAAATGCTATCGGAATACTCACATTGCTTTTGGCTTCTGCAAGAGTTAGATGGTCCTCTCCATCCTTAAGATTAAGGAGCAGAGTAACCAAAACAAATGGAAGGGAAGGTATACTGCTCTTGCTACACAGAAGCCTACCCATTTTTGTGTTGAGCAGTGTAGTATTTTGTGCTTGGTGTGTTAGGGGGGGGGGTTAATTGAGATGGCTAATTTCTGTTCATCTCTCTTACACAGAACAGAGAAAAATATCAGCAGTCCTTAAATGATGACTAAAGTGAACAATTTCAGTTGTGCATAAACTTGGGTCTGTCTAGTGGAGGCTGTTTTTTTTACAAGACTGTGGTAAAGATAATATCTGCACAACGTGGGCCCCCTATTGATGTCAAGATCCACCATGAGTTCAAGTTGCTTAACGTTGATTTTTGTCTTACTAATCTAAGTGATTTGCATCAGTCACAGGTAAGGAAGCTTAGCTAATCAATCTCATTTGTAATGGCAACCCTTACATCTCTTGCCACGTGTCCAATTATTGAAGGCGGTTTTATCATCCTCCAGTATGTGATAGAATAAAGCTATTGCTTTAGAAATATCCTCCAGAGCACCATTCATTAGGCACGTTCATTGAAGATCAAATTTTGTCTATTTCCACTTTGTTTGGTTGTAGTGCTGACTCATCGATGTTATTCCCGTTTTCAACCTTAATACAAAATTGTAGTCAGACATCTTTGTGAGCTTGCAAATTGTTCTCCCAATTTTGCCCTTCCCTCATCCCTCGTTTTTGGAATCAAGATTTTTCAAAGTGCCTATAGCCGAGCAGCGTTGATCTGCTTGGGTAAGCACAGCCAAGTGTGGAGTGAATGGAAGTATGGAACAGCTGATTATGGTGGAAGCAAAAGTGTCAGAACACTTGGGTAAAAGTTGCAGTTGTGTTTGTTTTTTTCAAAGATGGCAAAAAAATATGGAGTGATTCATAAAACAGAAATTCTGTAAAACAACAATCATCGTACCAAGATCTACCGTTTTAGCATTGTGTTCTCTTAGATATAGCTCAAAGATGAGCTCTACTCAAAACTTGGTTGTTTGTACAACTTGAACCAACAAGACTTATCATACCCCTCACATCACTCAAACCTAAACAACTCAGCACAAATTGATTTTCAGAACATTGGATATACGAATCACTGCCATTGGTTTTACAATAATGCCCTGATTCTCTAATCAAAATGGGGCTCAAAAGGCATTACAGATGCCAAGATGAGGACATTTTTGAATAGAATCCATTCCTTCATCTGGATATTTGTAAGAAAATTCAGTTTCTTCCTGGAGATTATATGGACTTGAACTTGCTGAAGAATAAACTTGTGTTAAATACTCCACATACCAACCTTCAACTTTCTGCAGATACAGGATGCGTCTTTGCTTTTCTTTAGAAATCTGCGCTTCTCAACCAAATAACAGTTGTCATTGTCAAGTTTCTCCTATTTTTGTGCAAGTACATCATTCAAGGAGAAAATTTTAAGCAGGCATTGAACTTGCTATGGAGTGACAGGGATGCACTACGAATTCAACCAGACATGGTGAAAGGAAACGAACTTTTATCCATTTTCCTCTAATCTTCACTTTTGTTCAGGTTGTCAAAAATGCTTACTGTATCTTTGTTGTTGTTCTTCTTTTCTTCTTCATGGAGAATCTTGCAGTTGACATACTCAAGAGCTTGTTGAGGGACATGCCTTCACCTAAAATGTCCTTCTTTACTTCATATCTGTGCTTGATCCTCCCATCGAGCTTGTAACCAAGAAATGCAGGAAAAGCCAACAGCTCTCCAACATCACGACCCATTTCCTCAATTAAGTAATCCATCTTTGCCTCCAACGATTCATGATTGTACTGAAGTATCTGTGGATGCTTCTTACTCATGGCAAGAATGTCCTTGCAAGTCAACCCATAATTTAAAAACAGGCTAATCACCTCCTGCATATTTTTGCAGCTGGTTCTGGTCACAGCTGCCATTGCCATTGCCAATTCCTTCGTGTTATTTTCATACCCAATCTTCACCAATAGAACCAGTTTGAATGCGAGGTTCTCTTCAAATGACAGGCTTAGAAACAAAGGGGCTTTAATCAAGAACCTGTATATATCATCAGAGCCCAACCCACACTGCTTAAGAAACTCGATCCTTGGATGCAATTTCCTCTTCCTGCTGGCACTAAACAAATTAGGATACACAAGGACAATCCTAAATATCTCTTCATCAATTAAACCAACGTGTGATCTCAAGAAGTTCACATGATCTTCCAAATGCTCTACACTATAAGCTAAGACAAAGGGTAGTTTACGCAACACAGTTGCAGTAGCATCCTTATCTCCACCACTCAGTTGCAATAGAAACCCAATTCTTGGAATTAGCTGTTTGTCCAAATCATAAGCAAGAAATGCTGGGCGGCGAATGATTAAGTTGAGACCACCAAATTGGTTCAAATAAGAGATCATTCTCTCAATCTCATCAACTGATTTAAGGCATAAGGCCTTTGTTAAGTTCACATTGTTCAGAACATGAGCAAGTTTTTCTTGGGGAATTCCATGATGCATAAGCAGCCTAACCTTTGCCTGGAAACCGAGAAAGAATCTGGGTTCTGTTGCATTTAAAAAGCGTTCAAGTTGGGCAGGTTCAATCTTCCCTCCTAATTCATTGCGAAGAAAGCATATCAATGGATCAATTTCTTCGGCTGTTAATACATCTGGGCGCTTTGTAACCAATCGAGAAAGCGTGAGCCCATTAAGTCCAAGGGATTGGAGAGATTGAACTCGGGTACGAATGGATTCAAAAGGCATGAATGCCAGAGCTGGATACATGTCCAGAAGTAGCTCAGTTTCTTTCTCATGGATTCCAATTTCTCGGAAGAGTAAGAACAATTTCACCCCTGAGTAAACGAACATCTAAAGATATTAGTTTAGAAAAAACTACATGCTATCCTAGGGGTAGAATTTGAGGACAGAAAGTGTTTGAAACTTTGACTGTGAGAGTCACTCACCAGTGTCACTGATGAGACTGCCGACGGTGATGGCAGTAGTGCACTGGATGGATATATGTGTAAAGATTCGTATACCCTCCAAGGCTAACAGTGAGTTTTTTTCACTCTTCCTTCTTGTCATGAACTTTATGGCAGAGAACCATCCATGGGATGGGAAAGATGAAAATGAAGCAGCTGAGGACTGTAGTGGTGTCGGCGAAGAAAGGGAAGATGAACAATAAGAAGAGAAAGAGCAATGGTTTATGGGCATAGTGAACACAGAATCCATTTCTGGATAATGGTGGTTGTCTCTTTGAGAATAGTATGATGTATGGGTGGATAAGCTTATTGGCCTTTGCGCTCCCAATCCATAGTGAATAACAGATTACTGTGCCGTTGCGCGACCGAGCGCGGAGGCTTCAGAAATGTACGCTATTTACTATTTAGTGAAGCCTATTTCTTTTTAGTAAATTATAGAATGACTCCCTCCACAATGACTGGATCTTATTTTGCCCCTTAAACTAGCAAATTTCTCACATTGCGCCCTATTGATTTCATATTATCTTAAAAGCAAGCATCATTGACCTTTTTGAGGAAACTATTTATGTTTTGTGACAAATTAAAACACTTGTAAAGTTTGATGGGTCAAATGATATAATTTTTCTTCAAATATGCAATACACGTAAATTATAGTTATAATATGAAATTAATAACTATAGTTAAATATGCAATGTAAAAAATATTTTTTTGGAGAGTGAGAATTGACTCAACTATGCGAAGATTTCTAAATGCACACTACCTGATGTAACCTTGAATCGTTAAACTTGCCTTCAATAGCCAATAGTTCAGGTGGTGCAAGAGTTCAAAAATTTCTGTTCGATTCTGTCTTTGTTAATGTTAGAGTGCAAACTCAGACTCCAATCGGAGTCGGAATCAGAGTCTGAAATCTTTTCCAAAAAAGTTCCAAACCAACTTTACTTAATAAATAATTTTATATAAATTATAAATCTTATAATATATTATTATATAAAAATTAAAAATTCATATCTAAAATTTGGCCCAAATCCTTGTATATGATTTAGAAACTAGCCCGAATGCCAAAAAAAAATGATCCAAATCCCACCAAAAGTTAGGAAAAAAACATAAGAAAACCCAATAAAAATTTGTCCAATTCCGGCCTACCTCTGAATGCGGAGGCTAAGTCATACTAGTTCGGAGGGTAAAATCCCCTCAGACTCCCGTTGGAGGCAGAGTCTGTGCCCTTCAACTCCATTGGAGTCGGAGCCCACTCCTACCAATAGCCCTCAGCAATTAAGTTTGAAGAGCAAGCTTAATTTCCTCAGAACTAGGGAAAGATTGTTGCAGTTTTAAACAAGGCATTGAGAGGCAAAAATTTGCTCATCGAGGTTCAAAAAGTATATTTTTTGTGGAGAAAAGAAAAGAACCATCTTAAAATTGGAGCGAGAAAAGGTTAAGAGAATGACCCTGGTCTCATCCCATTCACAGCTTCTATTAAGTTTTTCTCCCTCCTTCCTCCCTCTGAAGACAGAAGAAGCAACCGCCGTATCATCACTAATCAGTGATCTGCACTAAATAAAATTCAGGCAGGTATCCAAGAATGTAAACTTGAAAGCCAAGTTATAAATTATGCAAGAAAATTTGTCTCCAAGTGAAAAGAAAACAAAATATTTTCCAGGAAAGAAAAGAACATGTCAAAATGAATAAAATGTTGCATATTGATACCTAGGAGAATAAAACAAATTCAAAAATTGTTCAATTGGTCAAGATAATTCAGTCGGATGTCCTCAAAGGCCTTACAATTTGCAATGGCTCATAATGTGAAACATTGAACATACGCTGGTAGAACTCTCAGATTGTGCCATCAGTTAAATAGTAAATTGTCCTACAGATGACTGGCTGCTTCCACTTCAAAACAGCTTACTCATCAAGATTTGTGTTTTTTTTTTCAGAAAACTTCAGACAGCTTTTTACCAATGCTTGCCCTATTTTTCTTACTTGAAGGAATGCTTTTAATAAGGACATCAGAAGAACCTTCCTTTTTCAATTTGCTGGGAGACCTGCAAGACATTTTAATTAGATGGTGAATATACAAACTTGAATAGGGGGAAGCCAAAGTTGGCAAAAATGCATATTCTTACAAGTCCATTTGCTTCTTTTTAGGAACGTGGTTTAGAACAGCTGTTGTTTCTCGCCATACTTCTACAGCTTTGTCACTCCGATGATGATCCTGCACAAGGTAGGAAAAGATTGAACAGAGGAAAGGCAAACCTATAGTATATATATATGCTGACATAATCGTGTTAAGCTCTTTCACAGCTGCAATTCTTTAAGGTTCGCATCATACCACACCCAATAAAGGAGGATGCTACCTTCACAACAAAACTAGGATAGATTCACAGTCCGGTTTCTTTTCCTTTCTACATTAACTAATTGCAGCCACCCATCCAGATGTGGCATGCTGTACTTTATAGCTTTCTAACCAGAAAGACACTCATCAAAGAAGCTTAGATTTCTGGAGAAAACCTCCAACTGACTAGACATTTTTTTTTTATTGTGACTAGCAGATTTTTTGTTTCAGTAGAACACAAGCAAATATCATGTAGATTGTAAATACTTTTTTAAGAAGGGATCAATCCTTGCCTCGTTTGAATGCCAAATTAAGCCCCTAGGTAAAGAGGAAGAAACACTTCAACTAAAACAATCAATAAAAAGCATATATTTTCTACTTCCACAACTTAAGTATATGAGAAGGCTTATGCATTAATGGTATACAGATAAACAGACAACAAAAGCAATTCTTTTTGTCCATGGCCAATGTACAGGATAAAGACTTGTGAACATTGGTGTACCCAATCAATCTCATTTCATCCTTGCTATTAGTGTGACAAGCGAAATACAGCCATAGTAGTGCCAAACAAAGCAATTTGGGACAAAGGTGGTCCAATATTGGCGAGTATGCTGGGAAACTGTATGGGTAAACTATAGAAACTACTTTGAATTTTAAAGTGGAACACTCAAAACAGATAATTAGTAGATTGTCAGTACAAACAATTCTTCAAATTGATTAAAGGTAACTAAGAGTTCAAACTAGCTCACATGCACACGCACCTACTGAAATGTAGTTCTTAGCCTCTTCAAAAGAGAGGGAAGAATCTGAGCCTTTTCACATAGAATAACCAATTTTTTTCCAGTAACATGACGTTTTGAAAATCACAGCCAAGGAAGCCAAATCCATTAAAAAACTTCGATACACTTGTGGCAGGTAAGTTTAACAAAGACCTAAGGGCTTTTCTGTGTAGGAGGATAAACCTCCATAGTGGTTCAACCACTTGGGAAGGAAAGTTATCCACAAGGCTAAGAAAATATTAGAACACAGATTTGTTTCTTACCAAAAGTATACACGCATAAACTGTAGCTTCTTCATTTTTCTTTCCCTTCGGTATTAGACAAAAACCCAGTTCAAAAAAAGGTATTAGACATAAACTTATGTTTGAGATTGATTCATACTTAACTTCTTTGTAAAAATCATAAGCAGGTACCCTACGATGAACTTGCAACATCCTCAATCGCAATGCATATAAGTGAACAAATAGAGGTTTACATCTAAACATACCTAAGTGTGCATACAGACATATGCACATGCATATATGTATATTACACCTATCCACAAAGCTCCAGCACTAATGAGCATGGTCTATAATTTACACAAGTGATAAGACATCTTTTAGTACAATAGAAAACTGGTAACTGGTTTCCATTTTGAGAGATGGTACTGGTTCAATAAAATCACTTCACTGTAAATATTTTAAGTGTAATTATTTTTATAACCTCAATTGTAGGTAAAACAAAAGATGACACCTGGGATACCATCAAGTTTAAATCCTTGGTTCAATGCAGACTCCAATATTCATAAAAAATGCAAGTAGGAGCAAAAAAAATACTGAATCTCGGTAGACAGCTCACAATTTATTCCAAGGAGCTGACACTAAGATGGCAAAGTAGAAAATAATGTCATCTTCATCAGTAACAATCACAGGAATATAGCATCCTTCACATGATAAATAAGGCATCACATTGTATGCAGAGAAAGTGTACTCATCCGTCCTCAAGCTCAAGAAGGCAACTCAAAAACTGATGCGGTTCATCTAACCGTAGGTGCATACTGCATAGTCTCATCCTGATGCAACATGACTTTGATATCAGTTAACTACTTGTAAGTATAGGATCTTCAGTCAATTTTGTATTCCAAATTGAAGCCAAAATAAATAAATTTGAGGCAGGCAGCATGTTCAAACATACAATATTATACAACACCAAAAGGAAGATTTGATTCTTGTCAGAGTAATGAGCTTAAATGGAAAAGAATGATAACCAAACCAAGAGCATACAAGCACCATAAAAGCATAAGATTAACAGTCACATTCCATATAAAGCAAAAGTGATCCATTTTGTGAGTAAAACCATATACACCAATCACATGTAACATGTAGGTATCAATTAACTTACTTCATTTGGTGGCATTAGACCCTCTTCTCCATAATTTCCTTCCTTGGAAGAACCACACTGCCCAACAGCAACATTTGCTTTATTCTCTCTACCAACGCTCTCCTCCTCCAATGCACTCGCCTTCCTTTTCTTCTTCCCGACTTTCATCACTTTACTCTTCTTATCCCGTACTTTCCACACATTCTTCCTTCTAAACAACAACTTCTCAAATTTCCACGACGGACAGCTTGTATCTATCACCGTGACTTCAGTCCTCGAAAACTCAGAAAGATCTGCATGACATTTCTCCTCCTCTTCACCAACATTAACATACTCTTCCTCTTCTTGTGCCGTGGCCTTTAGAAGGTCACTCATTTCCTTTATCGCCACACGACCATTATCACCATTGGTCGGCAACGTAGGATAAATTTTTTCTTCTCTACCAACATCATGTTTGCAAGTATTATCGTCAATATTTGTAGATGTCGAAACAACAAAAATTCTAGGGTTCGGCTGTTTCCGACAACTCTTTTTCCGATTAATTATCGGGAAATTATCGGAGTCTCCCATGTTAAAAAGCTCAGCGAGAACATTGTTTAAAACATTGAACAACACTTTGCCATCATTTTGTTGCGAAACCTCCGGGTCTTGGTTGCTATCAAGAATTGGCTTTTTGTCGGACTGAGTTGACGAATTGGAGTTTGATTTTGGATCAATGTGGTTTGTGTTTGAGCACGCGGCTTTTGTATCTGAAGAATTGGCGATGTTAGGGTTGTGGTGACTTAGGAATTGTTCGAGATCGAGGTCGTCGCCGGCCGGAAAGCCTTTGGATGATCGGAGACGGTCGAGCCATTTCGAACCGGATTTACCAGTTGAGATTGAACAGAGCATCTTTGGAAGCGCAAAGATTGACTCTCGAAACAGTTTGTAGATTGGAGAGTGTCTCAGAATGTGGAGATTGGTGGATGAATTCGAGGTGTGAGAGCTGGCTAGGGTTTGATACTCCACATTGCTTTGCTCATACAGAGCTTGCTGGTGAGTTTATAGTACGCATGAGTGTGCGCTGCGCCTATCTCACTGTAAGAAGGCGAAAAGGTCAAAAAAAAAAAAAAAAAAAAAACACGTGGGGCTTTACTCCTACTCTTGATGTGTTTGGCTGCCTGTAATAGTAATACAATTTCCAGTCTTCCGATCAATCATCTCTTGGGTGAGAGAATCATCCAGTTGGAAAATTAACTGTAGAGATATTATTATTTTTAAAATTATGTTATTTTTATATAAAACCATTCTGTTTTTGTTAAATATAGTATTACTGTTAAAAACTAGGAAAAATTATATTTAAACTTTTTAAGATTTGTTATTTAATCACTTAGACTATTTGATAATTAAAATATTATACAAAAACTTTCTAAGATTTGTATATACTTAACATTTAGATCTATAACGTCAATGTCGGTTATAATATTCGTTAATAAATTATATTTAGACTCTTTAAAATTTATAAAGCGTATAATACTTACACCTTAAACTTTAAAATGTTATATTTAGATAAAAAATAATCCAATAAAAATAAATAAATAAATATTTTAAATTTTATAATTAAAATTCATGTTCTATTATGTTATTTATTAAAATAAAATTAAAAATAAAAACCCATTTTTTCTTTAGAAAATCATAATTAGTATATAATTATATACTAATTATAATTTTTTTAAAAAAATTATTTTTAATTTTATATCAATAAATAATATAATAGAACAGAGTAAAATTTAAAATATTTAATATTCTATATTTGATTGGAATATTTTTTGTGTAAGTATAATATTTTCAACTTAAGGGCCTAACTATTACACGCATACAAACTTACGACAGATCTGAGTATAATTTATTAGCGGATATTTTAATGGACATTAACAACAGAAGTTTAAATATTACGCGTGTACAAATCTTAGGTGGTTTGTATGTAATATTTTAAATATCAAGAATTTAAGTGATTCAATGACAAATCTCAAAGAATCGGTGCGTAATTCCCCTTAAAAACTAATGTCATAGGAATCGGATTCTCATCTTAGACATGGATTTGATATTAGTAACATTAAGACAGATTTGTGAGTTATTAGCACATTCCTTCCCCTAACCCATAAAAATAAGTGGGTCCCATGTTGAATTCGTTAATCACTTACCTTACCTTTGTTTCTTTTTTTTATTGCAATCCATAGAGGATTTTGAGTTATTTATTTGTTGTAAAGGCATCAATTAAATGTTTTACTTTGCCTTTTTTTTTTAATATTTTGATGGTGTGTTTGATATAGTGGATAAAAAAATAGAATAATAAAAAATAAAAGTGATATACTTTTTATCTTTCAAAGGATAAATCTTTTATTTCTTTATTTGTGTTTGATAAGAATGATAGAAAATAAAAAGGATAATTTTTTTTTTTTTGTGTTTAATAAGATGAAAAAGTGGAAGAATAAAAAAAAAAAATGCATATCTTAAAACTATATTTTATATATAAAATTAATGTGTACATAGCATGTAATAAATATGATAGTGTAATTAGGTGGATGAGCAGAACGTATGATTCATGTAAATCAGTGTTAAACTGAGCTACCAGGCTCGTGAGAATTGTGAAAAAATTCTTAAGGAATTGGGCTAATTCACGCAATGAAATTATAGTGGTTCACCAGTTTGGGAGCTCTACTAATCTATTCTTTAATGGAGGCTCTTGCTCCTTGGATCTGTATTGATCGCTTTTTCGAATTCCAATGGTGTTCCAACACAATTAGGGTTGTCCTTTTCAATGGAGGCACTGTTCTGTATTTATAGTCTAATTCTTATACCTAAGGGATTTGTATCGAGATCCTTGCCCTTCATTTGAGGGATTGTCTTTAATTCTTAGTGAGGATCTCGCTAATTGAGAGTTTTGTGCCTTGATGATAGTTTTCTGCTATTTTGAGGGTTCTTTGTTGGTCAATTGTCTCCCTCTCTCTTTATTTATTATTTTCTTAGAAGGCAGCTCAAGGTCTAGTCCCTGAGTTTTGGGTACTTGCTTGACCTCCATGACTGACCTCTGTATTTGAGCTCAAACTTATAATTTATTCTGGATATTATCAAGATAAATAAGATATATGCATATATGAAATGGTAGAAAGGTAAATAACATGCATGCGAACACAAATAATTATTAAAGTATTAAATGACTTAGTTTTCAAACACCTACGATATTTTCTATTTGAACTGATGTGGGATTTTAAAATCATAGTTGTTCGGGCAATTGAACAAAATGTAAGATTATTTCTAAATTATTTTATTTGTCTTGAAGATCAATGATTTAAACAAATTTCTTTATAGCAAGCAAATGAACTAGGAATTTAAGATAACATTGAAAAAAATACAATAATATAAATGACAAAGAGAAATTGTTGCATGAACTATTGAACTTGAAATTAAAAGAAAAAGATGTCACTGGAGTGATAATTACTGTGTAAAATAAATGAATTAAGCTAAATATCATAGAGGAACACTTTGATATACTGTGTGTGTGTGTAACTGAGAGACCCTTTCTCTGTAACTTAGGTTTTTATATTTATAGGAGATGACTATTAACAATCAGAGCTTCCTTTGTTGGCCATGAGACTAATAATCATAGCCTTTATTTTCCATTACCATCACTAAATTGTCTGCAACTCTTTTTCTCTTATTTGTCTCGTCTTCTTTTAATCTTGCCGACTTAATCTTAACTGTTGACTTTTGCCACGTGTCATTTTATATTTTTTAATTATTATTATTTTTGTGTAAAGAGAAGGCTAATTCATTCACTTTTTCATCATTCTTATTTTTCTTTTTAATAAAAAATAATGTTTTATCTATTTTTTTAACTTTTCATTCTTCTATTCTATCATACCAAATAAAAAATAAAAAATAAAAAAAAATTCCAATCTTTTAACCAACATTTAAAATTTATTTTATTGTTAGAGATATGTGAAATAGTTAAAAAAAATAATTTTTTGGGTGTGAGTACAATTTTTTAGACTTATTTGAAAAAAAATGTATCAACAAGTTGTTTACTCTATGAAATGTAATTTTAATAAAACATTTTGTGTTTATGTACTAAATTCAAATAAAACCAGAATTATTTTACATAATTATCCTCCCTCAAATTATGTATGATTGATTTACGATTATGTATCTAATTAAACATGTGAAGATTTTATTGGATATTATCATTCTTTTGAATTTTGAGCTGTATTTTTTGTATTCAGTCTGCCTTCAACTGTTTTATTCAACGAGCAATCTTCAACATCTAGCCTTCGACGCCCACATTCAACATCAGCCTTCTATGTTTACTTTTCTTCTCAAATTTGTGACAGAAATCATTTGATCTTCTTTGTTTATTTCTGTTTGCTTCCAAATTTCTGATTATCATCACCAACAGCGCAAGTAAATTTTTAATAATTTTGTTTTTTTAACGGAAATTTTTTTTTCAACCAATCAATTTTGATTTTAATGTTATCGATTTTATTGATGTAACTCCTATGTTTTTTTATATTTTTGTTGAACTGTAATTATTATTATTATTATTTTACGATTTGCATGGGTGAAACTATTTTTTTTTAGGATTATCATGGGTGAAACTCTTTTTTTTCAGAAATATGTTTTCCGCCAATTTTTTCTTTGGTTTCAATTGTATGCCATAGTATAAGGAAACTATATGTTTTACATTCTGCAAAAAAATAGAGCAACATTTTATATTTATAAAATATCTAAATAATGTTATTGTTTGATTCTCTTTGGTGTATGTTTATGTTCTAAGATAGAATGTCATTTATTTTTTTACTGTCATACTCAGGTTTGGAATAAATAGTGTTGTTTTTTATGCAAATACGACGGTGAGATGTTTGTTACCCAGTGAACGAAGCTGAGATTTTCCCGTCATCAACTGAAAAACAGCCTAACTGATCCAAAAATATAGAATAAAGTAAAGGGAGGAACTTATTAGGCAAATTTGATGTGGGCCATGTGGACGGTTAGGGAGCCACGATAAGAATACTTATAATGAGTCTATATAATTGGATTACTTTTTAAAATTAATAAAATTCTATTAATTATTATTTTTATTAATATCATTTTATTTTATTTTTTTTGTTATCATCGTTGTATTATTTTTTAAGTCATTATATCTGGACATATTACTGTGGAGCTTATAATTTAGGAAAATCACACCATATGGTGTTATCTTTTTGTTTATATTGTGTACCGGTAAGTTTTGCATAATACCCTATTAAGGCCAATAGCGGATAAGGCAAAGAGTTGCACAAGTTAGTTACTTTGTCGTGAGACTAATCAATTATACCAGATATTTGCACTTGCCATATGATACACCAAACAATTATTCATGCAGTCTAAAAATAGTTATACTAAACAATCACTGATTATATATGACACCAATCAGTTATAATTGTTTTTTGATACATTTATGTGTTCTGAAAATAGTTAGACTAAACAGTTACACCAATTATGAGACACCAATCGGTTGGAATAATCTTATTGCCAAATAGTTATTCATGTATTTTGAAAAAAGTTACACTAACTAGTTACTAAAATTATACGACACAAATCAGTTACAATTGTCCTATGATACACCAATAATTTATTCATATGTTCTAAAGACAATTGGACTAGGTAGTTACACCAATTATGAGACACCAATTAGTTATAATTATCCTATAATACATTAAATATCTATTCATGTGTTCTGAAAATAGTTACACTAATCAATCCATTGCATTATTCAATTATTTAGTTAGACCAAATAGTTACACAATTCAAGATCACCACATAATTACATCAATTATACATACCAAATTGGGTGAACCAAGAAATTACACAAACGAGATACATCATATAAGGACACTAAATAGATAAACTAACAATGTGTAGTATTACACTTGACATTTGCACCATCCAATGACAACAAAGAACTACAAAAACGACATATACCAAACAATTTCATTAAAAAAGTTTAAAACTAAAATGTGAAAAGTAATCTAATTCAAATTCCTAGGGATTCTTGTCTTCCAAATTTTTACAATATTTTTTATTTTCAAATTTACCGGAGACCAAGAGACGTGATCTATGCTTCCTAACTTTCTGCCTTTCTCTTTAATGGAACCGAAGATGACGGTTGGGATCAAAATCTGTTTTGCAACACAATTGGGCCCGTGGCCCATTGAGTTGGAATGGGTTTGGGCCTAGGATGTCCAACCGAGAAGATAGACACGGCCGAAATTAGAAATGTATGTATTAGGACCACCGACCAACGTAGGATGGAAAGACTCGTCCTTTGTCCCCTCTCTCTCTCTGAAATTAAACATGATTTTATGGTGACCGTTCATCGTATTTTTCACGCCGCTAACAACAAACCCCATTTCAATCACCCAAAAAAACAACTAAGCCCATTCCCATTGGCGGTGGTCGTTTCAATTGCTTAGCATAACACGTATCCCTTATGATTTTTGGGGCCGTAGCTTTCAATCTGCCAAATTGCAGTGGAGTTTTCGGAGGAAGAATCAACAAAAAATAACAAATCAAAGCTCACCCACAATCTCACAACCTCGCTCTCCACCCTTCATGTCCTATCACCATTACACCCCCTCCTTCCCCCCAAAATCTAGACCCATCCTTCTCATCCTCTTCCATCTTACCCTATATTATCGCTGTTCTTTCGTTTCTTATCTCTCTCTCTCTCTCTAAATCCCCGCTACACTTAGTGGAGGTTTCGTTTGGGGTTTGATTCTCCTTCCCATGAAAAAGATATATCATTTTTGGTCTTCGTTGTGAGCTCATAGTTATGGCGTTAATTGAGACATTTTTTGAGATTCTAAAAAGACCCACAATTGGGGCAATAATTGCGGAGCTGATGATGTTTCTGGGTCCTCTGGGGATTGCTTTTCTTCTAGGGATTATGGTTGGATGGGCTTGGAAACCCAGATGGGCTAGCTTAGGGAATTGTAAATTCGATTTTTCCACACCTTCCTCGCCGTCTGCTTTGAATTTAACCCCGGTGAAGGCTTTTGGTTCAACCCAATGCTTGGATTCGTACCAGGCCCGGACCCCAAGTTTTAGCTCAGGTGTCGTCCATAACAGCATGGATTTTAAGGAAGAAATTACATTTCCATCAACCGAAATTTCGAGTTGCAGGTAACTATGAATTGAATTTTTGTTCATGAATTCAAAAGTTTTTTTTTTTAATTGTTTATTGTTCAGCTCATTATTTCATTATTTTGTTAAAAGTCCCGTACTTTTTTTTTCTTCAATGAATACCTGGAATTATGCACTTCAATATTCATTAATGTTAAAAGATTACTTACAAACCTCTCTGCATAGTTTATATGTCAATAACTTGCAATGCTACATTAGCATAGCGCTATCATGCCTATATCATATAAGAAATTACATGAATTTTGGGTAATCTTCAACGAATTTCTTAGTTGGGAATGTTACTTGTCTAGTTCATCACAGCTGAAGAATGAGGAGAGTGTTGTCATCACAAAGGAGGATTTAGAACATTTATGCCATCTTGTCGAGAGGAAAGATGGAGGTCCCACTTGGAAACATTTGATGGACCGTTCAAACCCCAATATGAGCTACCAAGCATGGCAGAGAGATCCTGAGGTATTCCGCGGGCCCCATTTGCTGACTTGGTTGGGAAATCCGTCTTCACTGAATTAAAGTCTGCTTTTGATAAACAAATGCATAATCATATTCTGAAAAATTTTGTGGGGGTTTATCTGTATCATTTATTTGATTGGTTTCCTTTGATGTGTTTCTTAGACCGGTCCTCCTCAATACTGCAGCAGAACTGTCTATGAGGATGCCACACCTGAATTGTTAAGGGATTTCTTCTGGGATGATGAGTTCCGACTGAAGTGGGACGACATGATATTACATGCTGCTACTCTAGAAGAATGCCCCACCACAGGAACCATGGTTGTACATTGGATACGAAAGGTGAGGAAATTTTGCTCAGGTTGTATAGTTCACTGATTATCTTGGTTGCCAATACTTATTAATTTCTATTGTTATTTGGCGCAGTTTCCCTTCTTCTGTAGTGACAGAGAATACATCATAGGTCGTCGAATTTGGGAATCAGGAAGATCATATTATTGTGTGACAAAGGTACGAGAAGTGATATCTTTCTCTCAACATCTTTGTGGTGAAGGAACAACATACTGAACTTAGTTAGTCAGACTGTCAGAGTGAGTATATCTTTTGTTTGAGACTTGAACTTATGAAAACAAGGTGGTTGAATTGGACAGTTTTTTAGTTGTTATGGGAAGAACGTGCATTTGCAAATAGTAAATGAGATATGTTAGAACATGTTGGACAGCTGAAAAAAGCCTAGTGATGTACATGAGGATGTTGAAATCTATGATCGGGAAGCTAGTGAATCCTAATATTTGCACTGAGTACTCTGGGAAACCTAGTGTTGTGGGTTGATGTGGTACAAGACCAAAAATAAAAGAAACAATAGATATAGAATAGAATAGAATAACAAGATTGTTAGGCAAGGCACGCTAGACATTATCTTTGAAATATTAATTTCCCCACTATGATATGGATTAACTCATACAAATTTTCTCCCTAGAATACATTGCCTAACATTTAAGGTTATCTAGGACTACATTTGTTAGTAGTCTTCAAATTAGAACTCAACCCGAATGAAACTCAAGAAATTGAACATCAAGAAAATAGCACCATAGGATTAGAGAAATAGATGAAATCTTATTGTTTGGCCAAGCATAGGAACCCTATATTTATAGTGTTCTATGCACCTATTTAGAAGAGTTGTGCATTTAAATGCTAGTAAACACTTAAAAGGATTGTGACCCTTTGATTAGTAACCATTGGTGACTTAGCCACCAGCATTCTGTTCATTTATGGTGGCATGCCTCTTATGGTTTGGACATGGTCAAGAAAAAGACTGAAGATGGTGCCAGGTAAATGAGGCTAGTTAGTAGGCGTTGAAGGCACTTAGAATGGAAAAGAATAAATTGAAAGTACTTCAGTACTGCTATTGAACTAGCACAAAGAGGTGTAGCTTTTCATAACTAGAGAGATGTGAATGAAGATTTATGTGCATCAAACAGTTGTGATAATTTCAGTGAATATAGGCCCAGCAATGTTTTCATGTATGAAAATTTTGACATATGCTCTTTTGGTTTTTCATTGTGTCGACTGGTCATCCAGCTTATGCCTGTTTGAAGTGCTTAACTTTGAAGTTCTATTGTCTGTTATTTTCTTCAACAGGGAGTGCCCTGCTCTTCTGTTCCAAGACGGGACAAACCAAGACGTGTTGACCTGTACTATTCAAGTTGGTCCATTCAAGCAGGTCAGTTGAGGCTTTATTTTCTTTTTCCTTTTCATTATTAATTTTTATATCTAGTAAATGTCAACAGAATTCTCTTTTGGGTTTTATTTATGGAATCTAGTGAACTGGTTAGCTTAACAAAGGGCACAAATGTTGATGTATGTTTGAGCCAAATTTTTGTGGAAAGATAACATATGAAGATTCAAGTCTTGCCACTAATATCTATTCAATTCCACCTAAGACCTCTTTCGGGTTTAATTTATGGAATCTACCGAACTGGCTGCAATCTATTTTAGAGCAGAACGTTTGTATGAAAGATGTATGACAGTTCCTTTCCAGTATTTAATCTAGTCATAAAACTCTTAGGCAGAATTTTCAACCGAGGTACTTATTTGTTGTGCATGTAATAGTCGAATCAAGAAAAGGGGATGGCCATCTGACTGCCTGTGAGGTGTTGCTCTTCCATCATGAGGATATGGGCATCCCATGGGAAATTGCAAAGTTTGGAGTACGGCAGGGTATGTGGGGAACAGTCAAGAAGATTGAGCATGGTTTCCGTGCCTACCAGAAGGCACGAGCATCTGGGGCACCAGTATCTCGGCCTGCATTTATGGCTCAGATCAACACAAAAATCGATCCAGACTATCTGAAATCCTTGGAAGGTGATGAAGATACATCAGAGACTGAAGTTATGGGTTCCCCTAAGAAGCTAAATGGCATAAACGTACCAAAGCTTCTCATTTTTGGCGGGGCAGTTGTCCTTGCTTGTAGTCTTGACCGGGGGTTCTTGACTAAGGCAGTTATATTCGGTGTTGCCAGAAGATTTGCAAACATAGGAAGGAGAGCATGTCCAAGGACGTAATTGTTCACTCATTTGTACAACTAAGCTGTTTCTCTCTTTGTACCTGCTCGTTATGAGCTTTTGTCACTCGCATCTAACGAAAGATGACCGTCGATACTTTCTATTAATTATTTTTGGTTTACATTGTCACTCACAACTGCGAATAAGCTTTTTCTGAATAAATAAATATACTTGTTGAAAACATAGGGTGAAAAGATGTTTTGATTTATAATATAGTAGGAGTAACTCGTGCTTGAAGTTATGGTGAAAATTTAAATAGGATGTTAGTAATTGTTGGATGTTTATTGAAGTCTACTCTGTTTTATATTATAGATTTGATAATTCGTTATCGTTATATATAATTGGAACTTGTATATATATATATCAAAGAAAGGCCAATTCCTTATCAGCAACAAACACAGAAAGCTAGGATTTTTGAGACAAAGAGGCCATCAAGATTCAAGAGAGCATCCAATTCACGGGTTTGGGTTCGACTCCTCTGTTATTAACATCGGAAGTGTTCTGTTACATCAGAAGTGTTGTTAATTAAAACTACGTCGTTTTGGCAGCACATAAAACAAAAAACTGCATTTTCAGTCTGTTAGTTAATTTATTTGAAATTTACTCATATGACCAAAAAAACAAAGAACTGCATTAATCTACCATCATCTTAGCATGGGATGATGGTCTCAAAACAGTGCACGCCGTCATACTCCGGAGCGAACCTCGGCCTCCTCTGCTGGCGTGGCTTATCAACCTGTGATGGTGGTGGTGACGAAGTTTCTTCCTTACCCTTTTTCGCATCCTCCATTAACGACATCCAAGGTACCTTGCAATCCTGATCAGAAACAACAAAACCTTGTGGTTTTTCGATTTCCTCTTTTCTTGGAGCCCAAGAAAGGCCGATCTTATGGCCAAAATACCCAGCACAGACGACATCAAAAGCAGTGAATATCGACGTCAACATGGTTGTTGTTTCACTGAAAATTGCTCTCTGATGATGATCAACGATGAATCAACCTTGAAAAAAGATTTCAAGGAATGCTTCTGTATGAAACAAAGAAAAGCTTACTTCGACAAATCGTTGATCTACTTTAGGGAGAGAGGGGATTTATATACAGGCGGAAGAGGTCACTGTTTCTAAATCCTATTATTCTACTATTACTTCGCGGGTGGGTCGTCGAAAGAGCTCAAAAGCGCATCTTTTTTCGTTGAGCGGCCGCCTTTTGGACTGTTGACATTTGGAAGTACGACCCAAAAGTCAATGAAAAGCAGTGGTCAACTATCTTAAAAAGCCTTTTTATATAATAAATATTGAAACTTTGTCCCAAAAGCCTTTTAATTGGTAGGCAAAAAATAATCATCTATGATGGGCCGGTTCAGACCGTGCCTAGAATTATGGACCATGTTCCAATTCACAAGTTAGGTCCACTTTAAAAATTCAGACCAGTCCCACTATTGAAAAGAAAGAAAGGGTTTTTTTTTATGTAGGTATAATTTTTTAAATTTATTTAAGCAAAAGTGTATGGATAAGTATGTTTATTTTATTAAGTATAATTTTTATAAATTTTTTTTTGTTTAGATACAAATTCAAATGAATTAAAAAATTTTTACCTAAACATTTTTCCTTAAATTATGCAGTTATCATTGACAGTTATTTGAAGAAACAAATATGTAAAGATTAACAATAGCAATGACAGGTAAAATATGGACATTAATGATTCAAATCCTTCTTCTTTAGCAACAAGATTCTATGGGAATGGAATTTAATTAGAATGTCACAAATTATATGTGAATAAATACTAAATTTTTCCCAAAAAAAAAGAGAATTGACCAAGATATTTTGTTAGATATTATGTATTTTTCGTTGTTGGGATGTCTGAAAAAAAGAACTTCTTTGTTTTTTTTAATGGGTGTAACTGTTTTTTAATTGGTGTAACTGTTTTTAATAAGTGTAATTATTTTTTTAATGGGTGTAACAACTACAGTCTCATGCAATTGTTAAGACATGATGGTGTAACAATGTCGTAATACTAAATGGTGCAACTATTTAACTTATGTAAACAACTGAATGACAAATTAAATTCGTGTCATAATTTTGTGTAATTATTTTGTTTAACTGTTTGATTTATTAGAATACATGAGTAACTGTTTAATGTATTATAAGACAATTATAACTAATTTATGAAACTGATTAATATAATTGTAATGTTGTAATATTAATATAAATAGAGTAAGACAAAATAGAGATAGAGAGAGAGAAAAACTATTAGAGAAAATATGTCCATACTTTATCTTTCATTACTTGATTGTAGTCAAAATATATGGAAGGAATACAAAGGGTTTTAACCCATCAGCTATTTACCGAATGACAATATTGTCATTTTTTTAAAAAATATGCACTTTAGTCTAAATAAGATTTTGTGTTGTATTTTTGCTCAAATAAATCTAAAAAACCTTGTTGGATTCCAAATCACCCAAGAAGAAACTAGGTCAGGTCAATCATTCCATTTTGAGAGAGAGTCAAGTCAACTGTCTCATGGCAAGAGACTCAATTCATAATGCTCCATTTGGTATGATAAAAAAATGTAAGAATAAAAAGTTAAAAAAATAAAAGTTAGAGGAATAAATAAAAAATTGACATGCGAAGAGATCTCATTAGAAAGTACATGTCACCACCCCCACAGAATTGTCTCGCTTGTTACGAGAATGACGTTATCTCTACTTCACTACCTCACTTCATAAAAGAAAGGCGTCTCAATTTGTGAGGAAGCACACATAAATTTTAAGCCCCACTTACACAAAATGACATCTCTCTTATATCACTTATATTTGAGCATTCTACATTCCTTGATCAATAAAAAAACTCTCAAGTAATCCTAACCCTTTATAGTGAAATAGGTTATCCTAACCGAACTACTTAAATTGAAATAAATTTTCCTAATCAAACTATAAATTGGAAGTTATCTTAACCGAACTACTTAAATTGTGTTGACTCTCATCATTTATTACTGCATTAAATATTTCACAGATAATGCATAAACACATTTTGTGCATCATCATTCTATTGTTTTGTTTTATCTCAATTCTATTGATTCTTGCTCGAGCCAAATGCTATGAATTTAAGAATGATTCAATTCGTTAATTAGTATTAATTATAAATAAATTAAATTAGTATCAAATATAAATGACTTAATTTTAATATGATAAACCTATTTGGCTTTACAGGATGGGGTTGCACTGCAACGACTGCCCCCCACCCACACGGGCCACACCCACGGCAAGAAGCGGGTGGCACTGTTGCTTACACCGGAAGTTGCTGGCAAGTAGCAGCATTTTCAGGAGGAGTTATCCTCCTGCTAATGAAAATCTTCCAAGTAGCTATCCCACAGTTCTAGGTCTTAAAATACGCCACCTATTGTTGCTGTTGCTCTCATTCTTTCAGACATATCTTTCAAGACTCAAGCTAGGTAAAAGTAAGGAAATAATTTTACTTGGTTCAGTAAAGGAATCAATAACTTGCCCGAACATGGATATATACAAATAACAACCCCCCAGATCAATTACGTACTCTTGTATTCCAGAAAACACTGAATCTCTTAAATTTATTTTTCTTCACGCATACTCAATATACATCAGGTAAGGCATACAAGAACAGTTAATTCAGAAATTAACCCCATAGGTGCAGAAAGTAGGGCTTTGCAAACAAAAGTTGATGGGCTCTGCCCAGACAAGGCCCAACTCAGGCTCAATTCAGAAACACAGATCAGGCCCAAAAATCAAACATGCAACCCAAGCCCACCACAAACCCACCACAACATAGAGAACGCTAAGTCGGATCAACCACGAATCAATCCACAACTAACACACAAAGATGTCTCTGTGGGAAGCGCACGTCGTTAGCTCCACAAAACTATCTCGTTTGTTATGAAAATGACGCCACCTCCAACAAACTATCTCACATATTATAAGAATGATGCCTCATTCGGTTAAGAAATACTTATAAATTGTAAATATCACCCAACATGAGAGACATTTCTCACATATCACCCCCATCTGAACACTATACCACTTGAGTAATAACAACTCAAGCCATCATAACCCCTTCACAATAGAATAGATCACTCTAACTGAAACACTTAAATTGTGTTTTGCTTGTGTTGATTCTCTTTCTTAATTATTACACTAAATACTTGGTGATGCACAAACACATTTTGTGCATCATCAAAAGTTATGGCCACCATCAAGCCTAAACATCCTTTGATGATGTTTGATATATAGGATTCCTAATCAAACTTAGAACCCACAATAGGAAAACCATAAAACCAATGTCATATCTTTTGATCGCGTAAATAAAACTTTAATCACAAAATGCGCTCAAGCGTTCTTTGGGAAAAAAAAAACTACATAGCTGATTTGTTTGTCTTAGTGCAGGCTCAGTATCCAACAGAAATCAGGGAAGACATACAGGGATAGTTAATTCAGAAATTATCACCACACAGAAGCATAAAATAGGGCATCAAGACTAAACATATCCTCCAATGACGTTTGGCCATCATGATTTCTAATCAAACTTGAACCAGCTAATGAGAAACCATAACATCAACAACCTCAAAACCGGACAGGTGATGATAATAATGGAAGAGGGTCAATCAAACTTGATAGACAGGTGATAAATATAAGAGACAATCAAGTAATGAATCCCATAAAAAGTAATTAAAAGGTGCAAGTCTATATATTATTACAACTAGCGCAAAAGTATAATGGGTTTCTTTCATTTAACATTTTGTTAATACAAGAAGACTTGAAGAACAGTTCAGTCCAGAAGAGTAATTTTTTTTTTTTTTTGCTTTGGGTTTGTTGGGTGGTTTTGTGGGCTGTAGGGTAGAAACTAGGGGTGTGCACAATAAGGGTTTCCTATGATGAATTTTGTAACAGGTCTAAAACACCAAGTTTTATGATCGTAACAGATGAAGCAAAGCTAGGGTCAGATCCATCACATGAAAAATAACATAATACTTGTGATTTGATAACCATTCACTAATAGAATCCAGTTAGTATTGATTGCAATACTGATAATAAGAAGAAGAAAAAAACAAACACAACTCAAACACTTGATTAGATTCTAGACGAGATATCTTTAAAAGTGCCACTACTTGTAAGTTATAACTCCTAATAACTAAATGAAATTTTTGATGGGTTAAAGATTCAAATTGGTCCTACCGAGTTTCCAAAAGTCGGAACAGAACATACTCAAAGGAAACCCTAATCAAACAAGCCAAATACCAAATCATCTTCGCTTTCCACATTCAGTTCTTCCTGCAAAACATTCCAACATGAATTGTTCATCAAAACAATGAACCGAAAACCTCATACATCCACCACAAAACTTGGCATATATTACCTTCTTCTCCTCAACAGCAGCGGCGGCAGGAGCCGCGGCAGCTCCTGGTGCAGCAGCGGCAACAGGAGCAGCAACTCCACCAGATCCAACGTTCAAGATGAGGTCATCAATGTTCTTCTTCTCACATAGCTTCGCAAAGAGACTGGGCCAATACGACTCCACACTCACATTCGCGGCTTTCAAGAGCGCAGCAATCTTCTCCCCCTACCACCAATCATCAACATAAAAAAACACACACACACACATCAATATAAGACAGAAAACCTAAATGCATTACAATAAATCAAGCGAAGTAGAGGAGGTTTATTTATTTACAGTGACAGCGATCCCATCATCATGAAGGATCAAAGAAGCGTAGGTGCAAGCCATCTCTGAAGCAGACATCTTCTTTCTAGTAATCTACAAAAAAAAAAAGGTTATTCAAATCACTCAAAACAAGAAGCTATGAAACCAGAGCGATGGGGAGAGAGAGAGAGAGAGAGAGAGAGAAGAAAGGAGAAAAAAACCTGAAGGACAAGGACGGAATGCGTGATGCTGCTGTGCTGCGGTTGCGTGTTTAGGGCGTACAAGGCGTGACAACTGACCGAAACAGAAAGAACGTACAAAGGGGAGACTCGTTGTGCAGCGATGTAATTATAGCGATATATAGGGATTGTAATCTATTGGGCTCAGTGTTGGGCTGGTAAAAGAAAGCCCAAAGTTTAGAATGGCTACTGAAGCCCACTGCTGAAGAGAATATCCAGGATCCATTATGGCTATGGATGGCAAATCACCATGACAATTGACCTATTTCTGTGGGTACCATGCTAGAAGTCAGAGATTCATAAATGATGGGCAATTGTATATTTCATTATTTTTTATTTTTTGATTCAAATTGTCATGAGTGTTTGAGAAAAGTTCCGTGTATTTTTTATTTTTTGTTTCAAATTGACCGCAAAAAATTATCTCTAAGATGAGGCTGATCTCTCTTTTAGTAGACTCAGCTATAAATACTCATGAAAAAATAAATATCAGGATCTTTTTTTTCCACCGTTAACCCAAGAAATTTCTCATAATTTTTGAATTTATAGTTCATTTTTATTACCGCTTGAACTATCATTTACAATTTATTTCATTACATTTTCATGACCATATAGGATTTCTTCTTTTTGATAACATTGAATTTTCATACTCAATTGTTTCTACATAAAAAAAAAATACGGTTCACTACTATTATACTATTCCCTTCCCGGTTCTTGCTACTCCAACTCGATTGAGAAATTCTTAATTTTTAATTTTGTCCGTCTCGGAGACAAAATATGAATGAATTGAAGTTTCCTTTACCTTTCCCCTTTCTTATTCCATAAACCAATCATAAAGTAATTATTGCCATTAACAACCAAACGGCTTGCCATATATCTTTCAGCCAGTAGTCAGCTGAAAGATAAACGACACTTGCCGACCTTCAATGACCACGTCATTATTTAATCTTTACTGCACATTGAGCCTAACCAAAGTGACTCCAAAGCCAAAACTGCAGTAGTATATGTGGACAGGTTTAGAATGAAATATGGAAATCTATCGTACCAAAGCCTTGAGAGGGTAGATATCATCCAAGGTATAACATCACAACCATGATGGATATAATGTAGCAATGCTAAGTTCTAAAATTTCTGCTTTAAATGACAATTCCAGTTCACACACAGATTCACAGCTAGCATCCTCTCATAACTATCCCCTCCAAGCAGGGTACAAGAAGTCAACCCAGGGCCGATGGAATCAGGGACTGCTTGAGCGCACCTGGAATGAGACCAAGCTTCAATAAGCATAGAGAAAGATTCTTAAGCTACTCAAAGTTAATGCCGCTACTAAACTTTTCAATTGTTTTTAAAGCAGACCCCTCAACTTGTAAACCTTCCTCAAGTTCAGATACCATAGTGTGTTGTGCACGGAGAGTGAAATACATATGTGCAAGCTATCATTTCAACTATTTGAAATCAAAATTCAAACTAAAGCCTTACCTGGTGGGGAGATGCTGACCTTGACCAAGATCTAGGCCTGCAAATTTAGTAAATAAAGAACAAATATGTTGGCAAAGGTAAAAGAGATGGAAAGAAGGAGGATATACATTGATTAAGAACATCGAAGCCCCAAATACCCGGACAATTTGACAGGAGATGCAGATCTGGAAACAGATTGTTCAGGTGATCTGCTGAAGATAGAAACAATAAAAATCTCAGACACCAGAAAAAACATGTAAAAATGGAGCCAAGAAAATAAACGGCATTCATACGTTATATTCTTCCTTGGGCTTCTGCTTCTACTTCGGCTCCTTGATGGACTGGCATCGAATCTCCTTACCTACACCCATTGACATACAAACAAACAGCATGAGTTAAGAAATTGGACTTTTAGTTAATCTTGCCACATCATTGCTTCCATAGCTGAAGTTACACCATAATCCCATATTCTCAATACCACTCACCATAATATTAGCTACAAATAATAAAACTCTAAAGGAAAGCGGGTAACCAAATTCTTACACTGATTACAAATAAAGGGAAGAATAGGGATATTCAATTCGAGAGCGCATATTTTTGTTTAAATATAACAAAAACTTCTACAGCTTCTCCAATATGCAGAGTAGAGAGGATAAAAAGCTTTCAAATAAAGAGATCCATTTGTTGAAGGAAGACGTGCAGCCAAAATACAAGAAAGAATGAAACTTTCCAAAGGGGAGAAATACTAAAAGGAATTCAACAAATTCATAAATGTGAAGAGCTTTAGCGAAAGGCTCATTTCCATAAAAAATAGCACATGATGAAGATACCCGCATATAAGTTCTTGTCCAAGGATTTCTAAACTCAGTATCATCAAGTTTCCGAATCTGCAATAGCACAAAAAGCATATCAGCTGCTAAATTGGAGCAACTGCACAAAGATCCAAAAATAAAAAAGAAAAAATCTTAAAGCAAAAAAATTAGTTTCTCCCAATAACTTACAGCATATTTCATGTCTTCATAATTTGTATAATCAACCAGGCCAAAGGTACCTGAACACCACACATGAAATTAGAGACAGCAAAAGTTTCAGGAGAACTACAATTTTTGTTGTGAAAAAGGGAAAAAATAGTGGCACGACTGACACTGAAACTGATTAAACAGTCCCCGTTGACATCCATCAGGCATTGATTGCTTGATCAACACCAGCACTTAGAAAGGATGTCTAAACGGAACTTCCGAAAAACAAGAGAAAATTTATTCATTACAAAAAATGGGTTGTAGCATTTCTTATTGATTTTTGTTTAGGGGATGTAAAAGTTACTTTCAGACACTTCCAGGAATCAACTACATCAAATCTCCTCCAGAACTTCGGTATATACCAATATCGTGGTTCTCCAAAAAATAGAAATGGCCCATACCCTTACTCTTCATTTTTAAGTCCCCTAATTACTTACCTAGATGTCAATGTCATCAATAATTATTTTAGACTTTTCAGTTCAAGAAATACACACAAGGCAAGTCTCAACTGTTCCTTTTTCACATGGCCCATGGGGTTTCCCTATGTCACTACACTACTTTATAGTCATTAAAAATGATCTTATGGGGTTCACACCAAGGAAAAAAAATTCTATTCAAGAGCACATCTGAAGTCCGAACAATTAGGATGACCTAATTGAGTGTAAGGTCTTTATGCTAGGATTTAAATGCATTGTAAACAGACTAAAGCCTTACAATTTGCCAAACGCAATAAATAACTGACCAAGGTTGTGACATTTAAAAATTTAGCTTCAAGACGTTTTTCACTGGAAAATCAATTAAAGCTGAAACAAGAAGACCATTTTGAAGCAATTGGCACTTAAATTAAACCAAATTTGGGATGTGAAAAATGAACTACTAATCATTTGTTAAGGCAACAAAAAACTTAATAATTATATGCTAGTCATACCCTCACTGTCTCGCGAAACTTCAGCAAAACACATATCGCCAGCTTTTCGCATGTGATCCTAAACAAATTTCACCATCAATATTAAGACGATTGTCATGCAGAAAACCAAAAAAAAAAAAAAAACTTTATTCCATGTAAAATATCTTTTTTTACCTTCAAATCTTGCCATGAAGCAGATGATGGAAGCCCACGAACAATGACTGCACACACATAAATAGAACCTCTTATGAACATTTTAAACAAAAATAGATTTGGAGATATAATGATTGTGTACAAACAGCATCCATGCCAAGTAAACTTTTAATATTTTCTAGTGGCTTTAGTGGAACCTCGATATTCAGAATGGCAAGAAATGCCAAAACGCCCCCCGCTGCCGCCTCCTCCCCCATAATAACCACCGTGGCGATCACTTGAAGAGGATTGCCCTCTGCCACCATGAGCAAGCTCAACCTACATTGAGGGGCATATGAGAAATCAATCAAAGGAGGACACAGATATGGCATAAACAAACGTGGTCCAAATTTTTTGTTACCCTCAATCGACATCCATCAAAGTTATAGCCATCTCGACCCCTGATTGTGTCTTCTGCATCCCGAACATTATCAAACTAGAGATTACAAGACATTAGGATAGTCACAAAGGCTTGTCGAATTCTCATGTAACAAAGAAACCAAAGTCATCAAAATAACATGAAAATACCTCCACAAAACAATAACAAGGAGGGCAAGTAGGAATCTTCAACTCAATATCCAATATACACCTGTACTGCAAGAAAGTAAACAAAATTGATGTTTTAGGTGAGCAAACAGCTGTTAGAGCTTTGGGCTGTGGGATTGATGTTAAGAATTTGTGTCAGAAAACAAGGAGGACAACAGAAATGTACAGACTGAGCTCAACCCCCCTAGAAACGAAAACAAACCCTAGAATGAAGCAACAGAATGACATGGAATGGAAATCCCAAGTCCACATGCTTCTAAATGGTCAACCCATATTTTTGGTCCTAATGGGACTCTAGTCTATATTTTTGCCTTTCTATTCTCAAAGCATTTTGTTTCAACCTTTACATGTTACATCTGAAACAATTACTAATAATGGTCGTTTCTAAATACTTCAGAGAAGAATACTGATAAATAAACAGAGTTAATTGACAACAAGCATTCAATTAAATTAAGTTATAAAAGGGGAAAATTGCACACCAAGTCCATTTATTAGCAGCTTCCCAATTTTGTTAGTCTAAGTTTTCAATTAGAAGCCTTCCTCAAAAAGATAGTCATCATGTGCCAAGATTGTTCAGTTAATTGTTGTTAAGTTATCACACAGTTTACAGCATTGCCAACCAAAAAATGCCAATTTAAGGGGGGCACACATTTCAAATAAGGCGAGGTATGAGAAAAGAGATCATAAATTTTCAATTGATGAAAGATTACGCAACACAAAGGTAGTATGATTTATCAAAGCTTTCTGCTCAGCAAAATCTTCAAGCTCCATCATCAAGAGCTAAATGTTTGACCCCATACACTAACCACTAGTAGTAAATTAGTCGCATGACAGTCGAATGACTACATAAACTCCAACTCCTGTCAAATTGTCACCATCAGTGCAACTTTCACAGATTAATCGCAACCCTTATTCTTTCTTTTCTTTGTTTCAATCAATCAACAAGGCATCTTCAGGAAACTCCATCTGAATTGTCCAAAGCCATTGTCATACTGTAATTAAAAAGGACAAGCACTGAATCTCAAAGAACAATTCACTTCCAATCGCTAATGTTTTCAAAGAAGAAAAAATGAAAAAATTACACACATGAACAGAGCTACTAACAAAAATAAAGCTTAAGTAGATAAACCAGCAGGAATTTTTTTATGGCTCTTCAGTGGTTGTGGAATGTTAATGATTTACAGGAAAAGTAATGTAATAGTCAAACCCAAATCTAATCAAATTCAATCAACTAAATGCACACATGCAAATCGAACAGCAATCTATGTAGAATCCAAGCACAAAGCATAACAACACAAAAACTAATATTACGCAGCATTGAAATGGTTTTATATGTTGATACTTCAGAATATCATTGTAATTGACGAAGAGAATCAACAACAGAAATGCATACTGTGAAATCATTCAACGCAAATGATGAAGCTCATACTCATTTAGCACAACATAAATGTAATAGATGTACATTCAACACAAACCTTGTAGAATAAATCTTCAACTTCCCATTCTCTTGTGTCCGAGGGAAGGTTTCCAACGTAGATTGTGCGAGAAAAACGGCCACTCATTTCTGGTTTCGGACTGAAGACTTCGTAAACACGTTTCACTGCAATCCTGCATAGAGAAGTTAGAACGTCACATGTATTTTTGGATGAGGGCATCATACATATTTGAAAAAACAAATTTTAGATGTTTGTGAAGGATGAGAAAAAAATTACCGAATAATTTCATAGATTCACCAACATCAAGTACCCAATTTAACAATAACATAATTAATTCAAAACAAAAACTATGAAGCAAACCAAGAGAGCAATCCTCGAGGTGAGCGGTGCTCCACAAACTCCATTGCTCATATGCTCCAAGATGCTCCAAAGCTATAATTTATTTGAACTAAAATTTGATCTACTCATCCTGTCTAAAATTTTTGCAGACGAATTGATCTTCTGAGAGTGAGCAAGAATCTCCAATTATATATAAAAACCCATAACTCCACCCTGATTTGTCCCACTCCCCATATACATCCGTATGTATGATTCCAAAGCTCATATTTGTCCAAGCGCTTGACATCTATCATAGACAAAGCATTTGTATCATAAGATGAGGTAAGATCAACACATATTTATGCATTTCACCGTACTCAGATTTCGTCTAAGTGCACTGAAAAAATGGCCCTGGAAAATATACAATTTATTTTATTCCTCAGTAATTTAAATTCTGTCAATTGATGCAAATTCCATTGGGTTTATGACAAGCTAATGAAGGGGGAAATGCTGGCATTCTCCTCTCTTCATCAGAGCTCAAATATAACTATGTACAGAAGCATCACAGAGTAAAAGGAATTTAGAAGGAAAAGAAATTTGGAAGATATCAAATATATCTCAGTAATAGTTAGAGAATGCTCTGTTTGATAGCCAACAATTTAGTATCTTAAACAACCATCTCAAGTTAAACAAGTCAGGGACCAGCATTCCGTTCATTCATCTGCGAGTTAAGAGCAATCATGTCATTTGAGGTTGTGTGAGCAGATAACACTGAGTGACGTAAGAATATTAATAGGTTAGGTTGATAAATGGGAAAATGCCGCCATAAAACAGGTTCTAATTGTATGGAGAAAAGATAACTGTCGACATTGTTTTTAAATTACTGTCAACGCTACATAAAAACAGAATAACATAATGGCGAAGCATCCAACCATTGACTTCTGAGAAGGTTTTCAAAACAAATGTATCGATCAATTGACAAATCCTTCAAAGGCTGAGAAATACACTAGCCCTAACCGCTAGCTTCAAGTACCACACGATCATTTATCCTCAATGTGATTCTAATAATAAGTTTGAACAGAGAAGTTACATAAGGAAACCATTCTTTCAAGAAAAGAGTAAATTTCCAAGGCGGACGTTGAAAATCTGAAGATGGGTAAAGTCAACAAGAAATGGCCAGTAAAGAGGATAAGCACTGCGACAAGGTCCAGTAATGAAATGCAAAAACATTGCTCTATTTGTTCTGCATGGACTTTTGCAGGCACATGATTAGCTCAACATCAAAGTGCACGCAATACAGGACAACACCCAATTACAAAATCAGATAGCATTGCATATCACAATCTATCCTGAGCTTTCCCCCGATAAATTTAAAAATGATAATATATAAACCTCAAACCAAAGCCCCAAAACAAACCAGTAACCAACAAAATTTCGAGGATGCATAAATACAAGCGCAATCGTGAACATACCAGGGCTAAACGACAGATCGGCGGTTGGATTTAGCGAGTGATTTGGCTTTCTCGGATCGTAGAGGCCGATTCGCCAAACTAGGGTTTCCTTCTCTGTTTTTCCTTTTGGAGAGATTGCTAGTGTTGGGGTGAACTTGAAATCGTTGAGCTTGAATGGAGACCTCCAGATTTTGGCTTATTATATTACGGACGGTGTGGATCGGCTCCCTTTTCACTAAGCAATACGGGAGAGGGAAAAAAAAACAGATAAACTATAATGACGCCCCTATAGTTTTCACAATTACGAAAGTATCCATTTACTTTTTCGAATTGTACTAACACGCTTACCAAGTTGTGACCTGATCATAATAGCTCAGAAACTAATTTGATATAGACCAGTAGGAAAAAATAGAGATGAAAATAAAGAAACAAAAAATGAATGATAAGGAAAAAAAAAGGAGTCATGATTGGCCTAATTCATTTATCGTCGAACTTTATTATTCTCCTTCTTGCAATATTGCTTAAAGTTTTTTTGTAACAATTGTATCTCATATTTTTAAAATGGCAGAGTGTGTAACTTTTACATGACTGAGCTATAATTCATTTGTTCACGTGAGTGGCAAACTTTGCTATTTTATGTTAAATTTAATAGAGGCAGATAGAAAGGTTAAATTGACACAAATAAAGAGTATTAGAGTTTAATTGATATAAAAATAAGTTTAGGGGCTTAATTAATATAAGTATCATAATTTGAGGGTTATATATATAATTTACTCAATTTATAATATCGGGTTGAAATTCGGATTGTCCTTCGCCCGAACCGTCTGCCTACATACTCACGTTAAACCCTAAACCCGATTCGTTCTCCAGAAACTTTTCACGCCAGGAGGATTCGAACTAGGGTTCTCTTATGATCTTCGTCCTCGCCGGGAAGCAAAAATTCTTCCTCCATATCCACTATTCGCGTCTTAACGGAACCGAGTTCAACCACCTCTAGTCTGACTTGTAACCAGTTCCATCCTCCGTTGGTTTTTTTTTGCAGTCCACAACAATGACCACACGCTTCCAGGCCGCTGCGCTGGTGGCTTCACCTTCATACCCTAACGCCGTCGCATGGTCTGACGAGAACTTGGTTGCTGTCGCCTCTGGCCATCTCGTTACTATCCTGGTAATTCAGCTATTTAGTTAATTCTTTGTGTGTAATTTTAAGTTCACTGGGCAAAATTCTTCGAAAAGTCCGTTGTTTTTACTTATTAATCGAAATAAGTATCTGAAGTATTGACAATTATACCTTATATTTCTGTAGAATCCGGCTACACCTTTTGGATCCCGAGGTCTGATCACGATCCCTTCCAGCTTGCCTTTTCCAATTGGGGTGGTAGAAAGAAAAGGTTTGTTATAATGTATGGATATTCGAGCGACACCCAAGAAAAAAAAACAACTTATAAATACCATAAAGTATCTTTATGTGCTACACACAAACACGCACACATAGATAATTTATGTTCTTAAATTTGCTGTCAATTCGCTATTCAATGGCTGAAATACATGAGTTGTTATTTTGCTTGAGCACTGTGTTAGTGTTATCCCTGAATATATGCTTAAGATATTTGCAGATTTGCTATCTGGTTGTCTGTTATCCACTTGTTTATCACGGGATCGCCGTCCTTGTGCGCGGTCAATTTCATGGTCTCCTATTGGGTTCGCCCCAAACGCAGGGTATGAACTTTTTAACTGTGCTGTGTCATCTCTCCTTGCATTCACCGTTTTCCTCTTGTGCATTTGGACACGAACTTGTGTTTATTTGGATTTAGTGTCTCCAGTATTAGTATTTGTTGGTATAACTTGTTTGTGTCCGTACAGATGCTTGCTTGCTGTTTGCACCACTGAAGGACGTGTGAAGCTTTACCGTATGCCTTTCTGTGAGTATTCTGCAGAGTGGGTAGAGGTATGCACCAAGCAAAAGTGTAGACCATAACTTAGATAGTAGATGACTTCATTTTATTTGAAGTTTCTTCTTTAAAGGTGGAAACTCAAAAGTTTTCTAAGTTGATGAAAATATCATTTTTGAGGTACAAAATGACCAAACATAATTGAGTTTCAAGGAAAATGGAAGCCCTTTCTAAGTTGATGAAACCATAGTAGACTGAGTTTAATGGTTTTAATTGGGAATAATGGTGCTATGATTTGAATTTTTGTGCATTCCAGATGTTCAATAGGTAATTCTCATTATATGATCATTATTTGGGGGCCAATAATAACTTTCTTGAGTTTGACTCATGTTTCTCAAAAGCAGTTGCATTTACTGGGTTGGAGATATGCATGGAAGCTAACTAGACTTTTGCAGCACAGATGGTGTTGTTGAGCCAACTGATTAATCTGTTGGATTGCTATAACTAAATTGGGTTGTCTTTTTTGCCTTTGTATTCTTAAAGGTATTTGTTTTGTATTTTATTTCTTTGATAAATATAAAATAATATGTATACTAAATTTGCCTCATGTTGTGCAAAGCATGAGAGATGATAATATCTACAACTTGATTTTACTTTGTCAGAGTTGATCATGCAGTACTCTAATCTTTTTGACTTTATCGGGCTAAGATTTGAAACCCAGTTTCATGGATTGAATGCATTCATTCAACTATATACTTGCTGACACCATGTAGAGACTTACCTGCAGTACATTCTTTCTGAAGGAGATGGTTGAAAAGATTAAGATGCTACACTTTGCTATCTTAGATGCAGCAAGTTTGGGCATAGTTAATTGAGTGTGAAAGTTCCTTAGAAAATTTTATCAGATGCCATATACTTTTCAAATTTGTGATACTTATGTTGTAATCCCACCAGAATTTTGTGTTATCTGTTGGTTTTTCAGTCTTTGTCCCATTCTGTTTTGACACAAGCTACGTTACTATTTTTTATTGATCTTTAGGAGAAGCCTTATAATGAAATTTTTTTTTTTGTGTTTCTTTCCTCTTTAAGAAAAGCTATTATTTTTCAGTTTCTAGCATCTGTGGTAGTGACCGCAATAATGTTGTTCTCATTTGTTCTCTTTCATAGGTCTTGGATATATCTGAGATTTTTTGTAGTTATCTGACAAGTGTCAACTTTGGGGAGTTAGACGTCACTTCTGCAGAATTTTCTGATGTAAGTTATTTCCACTCTCAGTTCCTTTTGGGTGTCCATTGTTTTATTTGTTGCACCTGGTGGTAATCTTTCAGGTTAAGTTACTTGCCGTTCCTTTGGTTTTCGTTCTTTTGTTTAAATTGTTTTGATGGTGGGGTTTTCTTGCCCTCAAAGTCATAATATTGTTATTTCGGTGATATTTTGGCATCTCCTTCCAGGAGCAACCAACCCAACTCTGCACAGGGGAAGAATGTGCTAATGATCTGCCAATCTCTGTCTCAACAAAGGGACGCAAGCGAGGAAGACAGAATGCATTATCCGTAATGTACACTGTTTGCTGCTGTTTATAAATTTATTTCTTTCCTGCTGAAATCTCATAATGATTATACGTTATTGTTGTGTGACAGTGTGACTTGCACTTTCCATGGCTTTACATTGCTCCCATCAAATAATCTGACAAAATCTAATAAGTACTCATTATCTCTAAAAGTGCCATCTGGTTAAAAATTTGCTTTGTATTGGACTCTCACTTCTTCTCATGTGCATATTTTTTTAGTTTTTTTAATCAAATGAGAACTTTGGTTCTGATTGTTGATTCTTTTTCTTCAGGTAGTTGAGATCAAACCTGGCAATAGCAGAGATAATAATGCACGACCAATTGTTTCCCTGCCCAAGTCTAAAGCAAAATCTCTAAAGAAAGTACCCGAAAAATGCAGTTTCTCATTCATAACTCCAGATAAATATGCTTCTCGCAGTGCAATGCTATCGTCACTTGTTGTTTCTTGGTCACCTATTCTGCGGTCAACATCTGAGTTTGGACTCGAAGCTCCAAATAACTCATCCAATGGCTATTGTATACTTGCAGCCGGAGGGAAGTCCGGTAAAATTTCATTCTGGAGAATCCATGAACTGCAGTGCTACTCGATTATGCCGAGCAGGGACCCAACTGCTGCATTGCTCATTGGACTTCTCCAGGCACATTGTACTTGGATCACGTCAATAAGTTGGGCTTTGTATGTTTCTGACACTGCAAGGCCTCAGCTATTGTTGGCTACTGGGTGTTCTGATGGGAGGTGAGTAGGTATGCTGATGAATTATGGTCATTCTTTTGCACCACTCTTGCAATGCTCTATCGTTAGAGTTGCAACTGAAACAGCCTAGGGTATATGTTTTGTTTTATGGTGTTTTTGTGGTTATCTTCTATTCATGTAGGACTTTTTTAGCTCCTCTCTTGGAACCTATAATTGAGTGAGATGTTGAGTATGCATTCCCAACTTAGCAATCTGTTGCAAATTTAAATAACTGCATTTTGTGGTTTTACGTTTTTTATAATTAAATGCTGAGTTTGAGTGATCATTCATGTAGATGTGATGGATGAGAGTCTCTCTCCCATAGGAGCGAACCAATTCCCACATTGAAAATATTAACTTTTTTTTTTTGGGGGGGGGTTGTTATTATAAGTTGGACTTGTACCAGTTCAGGGTTTGCTTATTGTCTTTTAAAATTGTCCGCTGGTATTGCTTTCATGAAAATTAATTGGCAGAAATTTTGCTCTTCTTGAACAAGACAGTAGTTTGTTTCCCATATATTGAAAAAACATTACTTTTCTTGTATTCGCTCAAGAAACTAAGTGATGTTGACTCATTACCTGTGTGGTTTATAGGGAAAAGAGTGTTATTTTTTGGGTAATATAATGTAGCTTGGATTGGAATGGTGATCTAGATATTCTAGTTTATTATTTCAGCATCTAGATTAGTAAAATTGAACTTCTAGGCCCTTACAACCAATAAAAAATAACATTCTTCTGAACCTATAAATTGAAGATATCAACTTAGAATTATATACCATATTTATCTTTGAGTTGATTTGACTTATATTTTCTATTCCTCCATCCTCAGTGTGAAGATCTGGCTAAGGTATAGTGAGGAACTGCTGAAATTAACAGAAGTTGATCATGCTCCTTTTGTCCTTGTGAAGGAGGTCAGCATATTATACTAAATTGTACATCTGCGTACTTATCCTTTAAAATGATACTGTGAGGATACTAACTGAATCCTTTTCTCTGGTTTTTTGCCATTTCTGCTTCCACTTAGGTTATATCTGTTGATTCTATACCAGTTTCCACACTTTCACTAAATGTGCCTGTACGATCGCGGCCGGAAATGCTCTTAGCTATTGGCAAAGGATCCGGATCTTTTGACCTATGGATTTGTGACATAACTACCAGCAAATTCGATAAAGCTGGCTCTTATGATGCGCACGACCACATTGTGAGTTCCATTCTCTTTGTCAGTCTTTTTGCCTCAAGTGATGATGATTAATGTGCATAAGAATTGATCAGGTTACTGGTTTATCTTGGGCTTTTGGTGGATGTTGTTTGTACAGCTGCAGCCAGGTACTCAAGTTTTCTGATGTTTTTCATTAATATAATAGATAGAGTATTATCTGGTAATATGAAGTTCAGTAACTACGTTTAGCATCACAAAGGAAAAGGCTATGTTTATGATCATTCAAGTTTGTTCACTCATCTTTAATTGAAGAAAACATCAAATCACATATTGTCCTTCCCCTCTGTTTGTTGCACCATTTTGAGGGATTGAGGTTGTAGTTTATTTTATAGGTTACAATAAGCTGTGAATTTGAGGTTTGTTGTTTTTGTTACTTTTTCATTCTTCCTGCCACAACCACCCATCTTAGAAGATCAACAATAAGTTTGCCAACATGATGAATTAAAACTGTCTATTCACAGAGTTCAGTGGGCAATGAATGCGAAAAATTATATTATTAGATTTTAGTAAGCCCATCTTATTGTGTGTCCAAATTTGTTTGCTCTCAGTTCACATTATCCTGTATCGAGTGGAATATGTGGCCACTGGGTTAATTATATAGCTGAGAAAATTTTCCATTTCATTGGCTATTTCTTTTTGGGTGAACATAGGACAACTCTGTGCGGTGCTGGATTTTACATGGATATAACCTTGGTGAAGTACCCATTCCTTCAAATACTCCTGGTGTGAAGAGCTCTACTGATGTATGATGTAATCTTTTTTTATTTTCCTCTCTCTTATATATATCCTTCTTTATTTCAACAAAATCAGCATTTTCGCAGGTTCCAAATGTATTCGATTCATGCTTTGGTCTAGCAGTATCCCCTGGAAATCTGGTGGTTGCTGTGGTATTTTTTTCATCCCTCTCTAATCCGTTGTTTATGGATTTACATTAAATTTTTTTGACTATTTGCACATACGCAGACGTACATTCATGAACAGGACTAGTTCTCCTTGATCAATTTTATCTGCTTAGGAGCTTTAGCAAAGGATTTCCGTGCTAACCTCCGGGAGTGCAGTGATTGACGGAAAATTAGTACTTGGATTTTGGCATTCCATATAAAACTAACGCAATCTCTCCTGATTGTCAACCTGGCTGTTTTCCTCTTATTAGTGAATTCTACTTGCCTTCAAGTTGAAAAATTTTAACTCTTCAACAATAATGGAAATAGTTTTTTTAGACTCAACAAAATATGTGGAGTAGGACTATGATGGTGCAAATGACTGATAAATACAAATTGTATTCTATTTGGCATTTGCTTAGCTCTTCATTTTCGTTGGACTTCAGTTAATTGGGTGTTAATAATATTGAGATCAAAGTACACATTCAAGAAGTGGCATAGTTCAGTTTCCTGATGTTCTTCCAGCAAATATCAATGGCCTTTAGAAGTCTTAGTTGAAGTGCAGAATCTCTCAAAGCTAGATATAAGTTACTCTTAGTCCATAAACGGTGTAACAAAAAGGAAAATTGAACTCAACTCGTAGTGTGGTAACATTATATCAACTACTCTGGTTGACAAGACCTTTTCACCAATACTTGGTTACCTTTAGCTTCTCATACCCTCTAATTTGCAGTCCTTTCACTTGTCATTGCATGGCCTTTAAAGAATATGTTCTTTCTGGTGAAGTCACTGGTGTGCATGGCATGTTGCCTAGCCTATCTGCACTGTCTGTTGCATCTTGGACACACTTTGTCTTTTCGCGGCAGCGGCAGTAACTTGTTTGTTTTTCCATGATAACCTATCAGCTTTCTTTTTTGGTAAAAGAGACGACTCTAGTTAATGCATGGCATGGATCTAGGACTAACTAACTTTGTGCCTGATCTTTGCAGGCTCGTAGTTTTGATGCTGATCTCTTAAACCCAATGTACCAGGCAAGGTGAACTTTTTTCCAAGTTATTCTTTTTCTGGTCTACATGTTTGCTAATATGCTTCTATGTATGTGGTGGGACTTGGGATGTGCACATGCATCTTTGTTCATTTATGGTATGCTTACAGTCATATGTGTATATATATACCTACAAAAATGCAGTTGTTCGTGTGGATGCGTTGTAGAGAATGTCATAGTGAGTGCAGAAAGTAACAAGTGAAAAACTCTAAAGATAAAACCTCCAAAATGTTTCATAAGGGGAAATCTCAAGAATTTAAAGAAAGAACCCAAAAAATTTGAAGCGAATGAAGCTATTTGACTTGATAAGTTACTTTTATTTTACACATGGTAAATTTGCACAAATGCTCAGGACTCAGAAGGCTGCAATTGAATTCTTTTGGATTGGAGGGCAGCAACTGGACAATTTGTCTAACAGATGTCTGGATTTTGATGCTGAATCTTTACCTGGTTTTCCTGCAATGGAGTTGGTTTATTGGGAGCATAATATTTTGTGTTCTTTAAATCAATATGAACATCCGGATAAACCTCTGGTTATTTGGGATATTATCTCAGCGCTGTTGGCCTTCAAGCAGCATGCACCCAAGTATGTCGAGCGTATACTACTTAAATGGCTGGTATCATATGCGGGATCCCAGTTTGGCCTTTCTTCTACAATCTTGTCACATGCCTCTACATCTCTCTCAATTATCACTTCCCGCCAGTTACAGCTACTCAACATTATCATTAGGCGTGTAATACTTCCAGAGCTGAAAGCAGATAAAATTTGCAGCACACAGGAGGAAGAATTAAATGGTTTTGGGGTGGAACAACTGGATTTGTGGGTGGCGCTGCTTCTCAGCAGTGAAAAAGAACTCCGAGAAAGGCTTGTGGGTTTGAGTTTTTCAGCCGTTTTGAATCTTATGTCCACTTCGTTTAAAAATTTTTGTAAACCTGGACGCTGGAGTCCTGTTGGAATTGCACAGATGGAGCAGTGGGCTGCACTTACTCGTGATCAAGTAAAAGATCACATTAAACAACTTGCATCAGAAGTTGGAAAACTTGCAAAGAGGTATTCCTTCACCTCCTCCCCTTTCTTTTTTTTTTTTTTGGTCAGTACCCCCTCCCCTTTCTAATTGCACCTAGTTTACATCTTTTTCATATCTGACATCACGGGTACATATTCCCCCCCCCCCCCCCCCTTCTCTCTTTTTTGAGTGTGCATGCCTCAAGAGGGTTGAATGCCTGTCTATGCATATTATCAAAAACTATGCTCTTCCTAGAAAAAAAGCAAAGAGAAAGGGGTACATTTAGCATGCTATGGAAAATAAAGTATTCTGGTCTATTCTCATCAAAACTGTAGGCAAAACAATGTCTGTCTGTTAGGGTAATTGAAAAGAGATTCATCTGCTTAGAAATGTAAATGAAACAACATTCTTTTGACTGATAAGATACAGATATCTCATATCATGTACCGGGTATCATACCATATGTGTTAAATTTGGGAAGACCCGAATATAGGAATTGCACTTAATATGTGTTAGTGCTGCCAAATCCACAGCCCAATGTGCTTTCATTTAAAAAGTGAGTATCTTTTATTTTTTAGGGAAAAGGTAATGATATGCACTTAGTCCAAGTGTATATCTTTCATTTGCTAGGTTTATATCATTCAGAAAATGAAGGATGTACGGTTTTTAAGTGAGGATGCAAGCTTAGTGCTGTGGATTTAGTGCTTCCCTATTGCTGCTTGGAGAAATCAGCAGTTTTTTGGTCAGAAGATCCATCGGTTTCGTGTAGCACGTCTACTCTAAACCTCATAATAATAAAAACCTCATAATAATAATGAAGACGAAGGAACACAATCTAAAGATGCTAAATGCTGCCTCATTTACAGAAGCTTAACTAAAGAAAGTTGACATTATGTAGATTGCAGTTTCGTTCAGACTTGTTAATGCATTTAGACACAAGCAGTTCTGCTTTGACTCGTGTTGGGTATTTACTTCTTCACTGTGCTGCAATCTGCAGTTGTTTGCAAAATTTTTATGTGTCAGGCTTAGTTGTTTAGTTTTTTTTTTTTTGTCATTCTATTGCAAAACCCATGCACCCGGAGAAACACTTGCACAACATGAACTCATTAAGGCCTTGTCCCAAGTCCAATCCACATACTCGGGATTTGCAACATAAATTGGCATCTCATACACATTTTGTTTTTGTGGTTTCTGTTTGACTTGATACTACTTCACCTTCATTTCCTTGAACAGCCAGCTTCACTCCATGTGTGAATATGTACCAGAAGAACAATGTAGCTATTGTTCAGCGTTTGTTCCATTTGAATCAACAGAAAATGCAGTCTGTCGAGGTAAGATGTGCAATGATGGAGTTAGGCAAAGCCACAAACTAGCACGATGTGCCGTTTCAATGCAGGTCTGCCCTACTACTCCTTCATGGTTTTGCATCTGCTGTCAGAGATGTGCTTCAAATTTAGCACCCCAGGCTCTTTTTACAATGGCGAAGTATCCTTCAGAGTTCAAGTCGCTTATCGAATCTCCTACCCTGGATGTATGCTTAAAACCATTATGCCCCTTCTGTGGTATACTGCTTCAAAGATTACAGCCAGAATTTCTCCTCTCTCCTTCTGCAGTGTAAACTACTAAAACTGTGTAATTATTATTTATCATGGGCAAAATAGTGATTTATCATAGGATAGGCTAACTGTAAGCATGCAGTGTGTGGCGGCAAAGAATAATTATTGTACATTATGAGGATGAAAAATCCCTATAATAAACTATGAAGCTTTGAGCGTCGAACGAGATTGGGGACAAATTACCAGCTGGCCCTGTCCATCTTGTTTACACCAGGCTGCTTAATGTTGAGAATTATTTTTGTAAACAACGTCTAGTCTAGGCACTTCCTCCATTAAAGGGAGAGTTCAAGGTCGATAACACCAAAAATGTTGAAATGGTGTTTGTATTTCATTAAATACAAGGGTTTTGTTTGGGCAGGGGACCAAAGAGATTAAATGAATTTCATTAAATTCAAGTAGAGCATTAAATGAATTTCATAAGTATATTTAATACTTATGCAAGGGTTTTGTTCGGGCGGCCTAACAGTATCAAAAAAAAAAAAAAAAAAGCATGACCTTTAGGTTTCAAATTTTTAGAAGGTTTTATAATTGGAGGTACATCACTAATTCATAAAAAAAATTAAATTTATTAAATTTTTAGTTCTACAAAAAAAGTCCGAAAAAAATAAATTCAATCAAAATTTTTATTGCAATAATTTGGACCTATAATTCAATCTATAACATTAAAAATTAAAAAAATATTCAAAACTCAATTCATATTTACTCTCGTCCACTTTTTTTTTTCTCTCTCCAGTTAAAAAAATAAAAACAAAAACAAAAGTTGAAATATTTTTCTCGACAATATTAACATATCATTCTTTTGTCTCTCTCTTATATAAAAAATTAAAAATAGTTTAATTTTTTTAAATAAATAATATTAAAAATAAAAAATACTTGTATTTAATATTTTTTTTTTAGTTCTCAAATTAACTTAAGTCGCTCCTGATTTATTAGCAATTCACTCTTTTTACCATTTCTATTAACGGGATCAAACTAGATGGTAATCCTTCACCGTGTATTATATGCAAGCATTCAATATAATTCATCGGAACCAATGCCTTGCATGAATTGGGACGTTTCGGTCCCTTTCACCAGTCGTCCCAGTGAAGCAAGTTTTGGCCGTAAAAAGCAGCAGCAGCATTATTGCTGACGTGGCAAGAACAAGATCCACCCGCAGCCCTCACATAGTGACACTGGCCCCATCCCATCATTTGCAAGGTCGATTTGGTTAATGGTTGAGATACTGAAATGATAGGGTGAACTTGTAAATTCAAATATTTTGATTATGAATTTTAATAATTTTTTATGATCAATTTATTAGAAATTTATCTTTCATATATATTATAGTCTTGATACAAATAACATATCTTTAATCAAATTAAAAAATAAATTAATTAAAATACATAAAAATTGGTTCAAATGCCTTCGACTGCAGTAGCAGAATCATGAGCTTACGTGGGTCCATCCATTGGTTTACTGTACGGTCACATTGATGTTTACTTTTTTTCTTTTTTTCTTTTTTTTTTTGGAGGAGAGTGGGGTCAGAAACATAGATGTGTACTTGATTTATCAAGAGTTAGGTTCGACAAAAGATTAGTGGTCCACTTGGATTTAACAGATTTGTACTGGATTGTGTTCAGCCGTCCACTACTCAAAAGGAAAATATCACTGTATGGGAACAGATTAGTCCTTAATTATGTCAAAGTTGCCATTCACTCGATCCAAAGTTTTAAACATTGTTTTTAATTGATTTCATTTTATTGTAACTTGATTTTATAGGATCGTAACTTTTTGTATAATATAAAAATATAATTTTGAGTACTATATCTTTCTTTTAAATAGAAGTTGATCCCTCAAGTATAGGCTCCACAAATAAGAATAAAAGAAAGAATAATTTATAGCAACATTGAGAATTTGTTGTTAGATATCAATCTTTTACTTGATTTATTAAAGTTTCCCGATTGTAGATAAGTTATTTTAACATGTTTTTAAGACCACCAAACCAATTATTAGGTCCCTTGCATTGATTTCTCTTAAATGTTCTTGTTTTTTTTTTTAATAAGAAATGGTAGCTAATCTTTTATTAATCAATTTTTTTGCATATTTCGCTAAGCAATTAACAACACTTTTATGTTTATATCTGGCAATGCTATTATGACTGCTCTACATCGCTCTTTTATAACCTTTTTTCTCCCTTGTGTTTGTTTTTTTTTATAAAGTGTTTAAATTTGTATCGTCGTTGATTACTCGCTCAAGTTCAAATATTAACTATTGCAGTCTTCTTGTGCTTGTCTAAAATGTGTCTATAGAGAAAAATACATAATGACCATCAAAGTCCACATAAGAGTTTTTTTTTTTTTGTTTAGGGTCAAAGCAAATAGGATAATCATATCATTATGTAAGGAAATTAAGATTACAATCAATTAAAAGAAAAGTCGTAAGCTCAAGGGGAAATTCTAACCAATTCGCCGAAAGGGAGTTGTTTAACATAATATCCATTACCCAATGAACAATCTGGTTATAAACCCTCGGCTTGCGTAAAAAATTTAGATTGTATGACCTGACATAGTATCAAAGTCCACATAAGAGTTTGGTATAACAATATTAGGTATGTGAATACAAATAAAATGAAACAAGGTTTGTTATTTATATATTCCACCACATGGGTGGGATCATATTCGTGCATTTGACCTTATAGAAACTATTTTTATTGCACTAGTTTTGTATCTAATAAATAAATTAACTTACGATGATGGTTAATGCTTTCGATTATTAAAATACTAATATAACAAATATTTATTATCATATTCACACAGGGTCCTTATCTATCCCATCTTTAAGTCATAAAATTATAAAGATTAGATATAAAATTGTTGAATTAGTGCAACTCTTAAAATTTTTAGATAAATCAAGAGAGAGAGAGAGAAAAAGGCGGGGGAGGGAAAAATTTAGAATGAATAATATAGGGAGAGCGAAGTCTCGAAGCGATATTGGGGTTTGTAATTCTATAGATTGAATAGTCTTTTTGTATATCTATTTTTTTTCCTTGTAAAAAAGGAAAAATCCTATAGATTGAAAAGTGAGAAGATGAGAGAGAAAATGAAAAGGATAAGAGAAAAGAAAAAGTGGAATTTATAGAGGGAATGATGAAATAAGGTGGTTAAAGATATAAGAGATTACCTAATAATAATATTCCACTTTTTTAATTGTTTTGTAAGCAACAAAAGTAATTTCTTTTGAAATAAGTTTGATTACTATAATTATACATGCAATTAAGTTTGAAAAAACATGCAAAAAATTAAAAAACCAAAATACAAAACAAACTATACTTACAAAGTATGTAAAATTAAAATGATTTATTGGTAAAATTAGACTTGTCAATCATGTTCGATAAGGCGGATTCGTGTCGAGTCTTCATATATTTGTGTCAAAAAATATTTCACTCATATTTAATTTATTTATTAATTTATGTTATATTAAATTTCCTGTGTATCGTGTTAACTTATGGTATTATATTTTTGACGATATGGATAAAATAGTGACATAAAATAGTTTTGTCATTTTATTGAAGGAGTGGGTTGTGCAGGGCAGGGCAGGGCAGGGTCATCACTGTTCATCATTTTGGGACTTTGCGAAGAAGATCCAAGAAGGTCGAGTAGCCGAAACGGACGATCCGAAGAACCCACACATATTTTCTCTCTGTAAAACCCGCACCCGCACCCGCACCCGCACCCGCACCCGCACCCGCACCCGCTGTCTCTTTCTCTCCAAAACCCCTCTCCGTTTACGTTTCTTCTCTTCGTAGACTCGGAAAAAAATATACCATACAAGAAAAATAAAATTTCTGTTTTGGTTTGGCCCACTCTATTCTTCTCATTCTTCTTGGTTTTTTCTTTTGATTTCGCAACTGACGATCTCAGAGTTCTTGCTCTGGTATCCGATCAATGGACACCATTTAGACACAATCAGGTATGTCTTCCCTCAGAAATGATTGTTTGTTTTTTTTTTCCCCATTTCTTCTTACAGTGAGATTTTTGGTTGATCGATAGATCAAGGAACTAAATTATTAAAAAAGATAAAACTTTTGCAGAACCCAAATCTAAAGAAGAAAAGTTTCTAAGGTGTCAGAGAGTTTTGATCATGGCGGTTGTTGAGAATGTTGCTGGGTCATCGAATGGGACTGACTCAAACGTACCAAACGGAACCGATCAGTCAAAATCGAACAACACTAGCCCTTTGTTGAAGTCAAATGATCAAAATATCCACGTTAATCAGCAACAGCAACAGAAGATATCACCACCAACAACTGTTCAGGCCAACGGTCCGACTGTTAATAACAAGGCTCATCAGATGAGTGCAATCCAACAGCGGTACAGCATCAACGGCAATGGTATGGAGGATCATCACCGTCACAGAGTGAAGAGAGGTGTGGATTTCAGGGGAAATGGGGGAGATGATGATGATAATGATGATGGTGGGGAAGGGTTTAATAGGGAGATGAGGGATTTGGCGGAAATGCTGTCTAAATTGAATCCGATGGCTGAAGAATTTGTGCCGCCGTCGCTCGTGAACCACCATGGTTTGGTGCCACAGTCTGGTGGTCAGTTTGGTTATAATACCAACAATTTTGTAGTGCACGCTAACTCTGGACTTGCCTATGGAAATTCCACTAGACTGGTATTTCTCTGATTATCTTCTTTTATTTTTTTCCCCTTATGCACCGTTTGCCTGCTGAGAAAATGTTGTTCTGTTGTACGAGGTAGCGAAATGTTGATACTTACCTTCTATTTCCTTTATGGGGTCAGATAAAAAATAGGAAATTTTGCTTAACCGAGTACTATTCAGATTAGTTGAGTTCATGTATAATCAGAAACAGTCGGAGAGAAATATAGATATCCATAAATAAAACCCTATATTTCTTAGCCACCAAACGGAGGATTGGCTATTCCATTGGATGTTCGTCTGTTTAAGTTTTAGTTTCATGAAGTATCTTGTGCTGATGGTTTGGTTTCTAGAAGAAGACTAACTATAGTCACGGGAAGAGAAGGATGAACAGCCGAACAAGTATGGCACAGCATGATGATGTAATTAGGAGGACGGTTTATGTGTCGGACATCGATCATCAGGTTTGTAGTCATTTACATTTATGGGTTGCCCTTCTTCAGGGAGTTCTTTGACTTCGGGTTTTCAGTTTGTTTTAATTGTCAAACAATCTTTGAGCATTTGGTATTGTTTTTTGCTTTGATTGTAGGTAACTGAAGAGCAACTTGCAGCACTTTTTATCAATTGTGGACAGGTAAATGTGGGCTTTAAGATATTTTCACCCTTTTATCTGTGCTAATGGAGGATTACTCATATGAATGATTTTTCTCTATGTTCTCTGCTGAAGGTGGTCGACTGTCGTGTCTGTGGTGATCCTAATTCTGTTCTCCGTTTTGCCTTCATTGAGTTTACTGACGAAGGTATGTTGATAATCTTAGTACTTGAAAATTTTTGATGAATTTGGGTGGTGTTACATACGTTGTATCTAATATGCTTGCAGAAGGTGCGATGAATGCTTTGAGTCTAGCAGGGACCATGCTTGGATATTACCCTGTTCGTGTGCTGCCTTCAAAAACTGCAATTGCACCTGTTAACCCCACATTTTTGCCAAGGGTTAGATGATTTGTTCACTATGTTTATGTTCTTAGTTGTAGCATACATTCTACGTGCTTTGAGATGTTCTTCAAAACTGAAAACATATAAGAACCACGTTGATACAAAAGTTATTTCTTTTTGCTTGAAACAGTCTGAAGATGAAAGGGAGATGTGTGCCAGAACTATTTACTGTGCAAACATTGACAAGAAGGTAAGTTAGAATCTAAATATCACTTGTTAACACAATCAGAGGACATTGGTTGGAAACTTATTTATGATTTGTGTGTTTCTTTGATGCAGGTTACTCAAGCAGATGTCAAACTCTTCTTTGAATCCATCTGTGGAGAGGTTTGTAGCTACGAGAGTGCTGCTTCTTCTCGAAGTTCTAACTATATGTGATGAAATGTGTTACCTACTGTAGGTTAACCGCTTGAGGTTGCTCGGAGACTATCAGCATTCCACTCGTATTGCTTTTGTTGAGTTTGTAATGGTAACTACCATGAACTTTTCACTTATTTTAGTGTTAGATTTGTTTGTGTGCAACAGTAGCATTGCTCTCCATTTTCAGGTACAATCTGAGGAAAATTATTAGGGTTCGAGTTGATCAAGCAAAATTTACATTAATTTAGTTGTGTGATTAATTATTAAGAGTTATGTTCATCACGTCAATTCTATTTTGCTTCTTATCTTCAGTTCTTTCTTTTTGCATTGTGAATTTGAATGAGCCCACATATGTTTATGTGGGTCACCATTTTCTATTATGCATGAAGCCATGAACTGATTATGTCACACACTATGGAACTGGCTTTTGAGAGCTGAGTTTGAATTGATAAAATTTGTCTCCCTTGTTTTTTGGTAATATTTGCTGCGAACCAATTTTATTAGTGAATAGTATGATAATTTCTGCTGAAAGTATTATATAGAGGACATGTGTAGGTTTTTATCTTTTTTAGAGGTGGTAGATCAAGTATACAGATTTTTGTGAAATGGTTGGATGCTATGACTTCATTGATGCAGAAGAATTGTGACATAAAGAAATGGGAAAGGCTTTTGGATATACTCTCAGTGGTTGATGATATTGTGGAACATACTTAAACTTGGAATAGTTTTGTCATTTGCTTTTGAAATCTGGAAATTGAATTATGTTAGGAAATGATGAGTCTTTAGGAATATAGAACTATGCATATTGAAATAGGCAGCTAAGTTGAAAAAGACTAATCTCAGCCATTTGGGTTTAGACATATTTTCAACATTTTGGGTGGGGCATTCTCTTATGGGAAGGAGATGTTTGTGGGCATTCTCAAGCTAGAGTAGCTTTTCCTTGAGAGGTGGGGTTGCAAATTGATCATTGGTTTTTGGGCGAATTTGAGCAAATCAAAAGATGTTTACGAGGTGCACCTTTGAGTCTTTGCTTTAGTGAACAATCCTAAGAGACGAGGAGTGGTATGGGGTCCTGGAGGGTGTTGATGTTTATGATAGATAAGCTGCTACAAAAGTATTCATGCTTAGCGCTAGCCCTAATTCTATAGCATTGGTAATAGGTTTGATAATAGACATGGTTAACTGAATGACCCAAATGTAAGTTCTTTATGGACTTACAAAGGGAGGAAGGCTTCTGTCTGGTTTTTGACTGGGCGTTGTTTTTCCTATTTGCTTTCTCTGCCATTCCTGTCAATTTGTTCACTTTTCTTCTGCACCTGACATTGCCAGATGTCTACCTACCTAGAATTGAAGTCTTGTTCATGTTAGAATATCCTGACCAGTCCGTAATAATCCCTTGTACAGAGTTCTATATATCTGAAAGGTCTGCATCTGCATTGTACGCTGAGCAAATTGTTGATGAACATAATGCATTGTTTAAGATCGACCTTCTTATCTGTTATTATTCTTATTACTTTGCTTGAAGTTATGGGTTTTTACATTTTTAGCTGATTTATCTTGGACGATTGCACAACATTTTGTGCAGTGGGACTTGTCTCTTTCTTTGTGGCTTGTTCTATGGATTATATATATTGTACTGCTGGGCACAAATACAAGTTGTGACTATGGTCTTCCCTCTATTGCAGGCTGAGAGTGCAATTGCGGCTCTGAACTGCAGCGGTGCAGTCTTGGGATCACTGCCGATAAGGTCAGTAATTTGAATTATGTATCTATCCTTGTGTTTATTAGTTTAGTTCTTCATTTTTCTGAAACTGCCTATTTTCTTATTGTTGTGACTATGCAGGGTAAGCCCATCAAAGACACCTGTTCGGCCTCGCGCTCCTCGCCCATCCATGCACTGAACTATCCTTTCATTTCTTCTTAACTGATCTTCTGCAGATAAATATATCTACCTATACATATATAGATACAGAGATACTCTTAAGGTACTTTGTGCCACCTTTGTCGCATTTGTTTCTAGTTTTGTCCTTTGCTTCTCAACCTGCGATGTACCACCTGTAGGGATTTATTTATGGTTGTCGTGTAGGGTGTAGAGTTGGACAGAATTCTGAGCCTCAAGTTTTTTTAAATTTACGTTTGAATGCTGGATTCAGCAGTAACTGCCTCAAAAATTAGTTATACTGTTCAAATGTTTCTAACATGAAGATTCTTGAAAGACACAACAGTAATCACTTTTCTGTTCTGTTCCATATTTGTCTACGCCCGAGTATTTTGCATACTAGTTGTTCTGAGTTCTTATTCGATATTTTGGGTGGATGGATGGTAACCTTGGTACCCTTCTCAATTTTAGTTGCTCCTTTTCTAACCAACAACATACCCAAGTTTTTTCACAGGAAATCGAGGCTTTTCTCATATTTTGGAAGCTCTCTTTTTTTTTTTTTTATGTCTGATCGTTCATATGTGCTGCTCTGTTGTCATGAAATTGACCTGATCTTCAAGCATAATTGCAACTTTTTTCTCTTGATATTTTGTTTTTGTTCTTCTTTGACATCTTGGGAGTTGAATTCAAGATGGCATTGCTTTGTATGTATTCTAGAGATATACGGAGAGAGAGAGAGTAAGGTCAGACAAGGTGTTCTCTGTTGAAAGGTCAAGGGATAAGATTTGTGGTCTTTGTATGTATGTTGGAGAGTACTTCCTAGGAAAACTGTAGTTTTCCGTTTCCTCCTCAAAAGCTCTTCTTCTTGGCTGTCTCTGTACAAAAAGGTCATTTATTGTTTCTTGGTGTGGGTGTGTGTATTAAAGGATATTGTCATTGCCATTGCCATCTGCCTGGATGATGAGATGGCTAACGGAACCCTTACCAAGTAGTATTTCCCTTTTGTTTTCATATAGAAGCCTTTCTTAAATAAGCAATAATGTAGCCATCAAACTTAACTAATGAGGGCTTGAAAAGCACTTGTTTCTACTCTCTACAATTTATAAATAATTGCTCTCATACACAATTGTTGTGCTGCTGACGACACCAGCAACAAGAGATGTTGAGAGACGTCACCGGCAAACGGAGGCATGAGGCCTGAAAGTGAAGGTGTTGGTTTTCTCGGGTCAACCCTGTTTCCACGAGCATAAAATAAGATTGTTATAGATCTTTATTTGGTTAATTTATAGTAATTGATCATAAAAATAATAAAAAATATATATATATATATATATTTTTTTGTCACATGTCACATTCTTGTCTGTAAAAAAGAAAAAAGAAAAAAGACATACGATCCCATTAATTTCTTGGTATATTATCGTCTCTCTTAGAAATAGTGTCTTCTGACTGGGTCTTGAATTCAATTAGATAGTCTAAGTTTGTAATATGCGGACTCCTGAGAATCTATGAGGGGATGCCCTCCTTGCTGTTAAGGTAATTGACCAACTAGTAATGATTCTGACTTCATGAAAGCGAGTTGCACTGAAATGCCGGATTGTACTTAGCTGACTCAACCTTCTGATAAGATTTAAGAGGATCAATTTGACAATTAAAACAACATTGACCCTCAAGTTGTGGATAGGTAGCTCTAGAAGACGATTTTCGTGTTTTTGGTAGCTCTTTTCCCTACGCAACACGTAAGTTGGGCCTCCCACATTTCCCAGGCCAATCGCACCCCCAACTGCCCCTAGTAGGGCTTCAACCCTGCCCATCTCCCAAGGGCTTTGAGGACTACATGTACATGTACGTCTAAAAAGGAGTTTTTATAGCTCAAATGGTAATATAAATAAATTGTAAATTTAAATGCTTTAAATTTTAATTTTGATAGATTATTAAAGATTTATCTCTCATCAATATTCTAATTTTGGCGTGAATGACTTACCTTTGATATGATTAGAGAAGGGATTAATCGAGATATGCATAAATTAGTTCGAATACCTCTCATTCTTCAACTTTAAAAAAAAAAAACAACAGTTGGTGTCCCCACTGCGAAAACAATTGTATTTATTGGCATTAAACCCAAGCTAGGACATAGTGGGGGATCGGTCCATTCGGATCTTCTCTTTTTTATTATTAAGCCAACAAAGCTAGTAAACAATTCTAAAGAACTAGAAAGTGCAGTGGCACTTTTGTTGGAACAGCAGGATCTTTGTCTCACATTTCCGTCCTCCTCTCTACCAAATGTGAGGATGACAGTCTCTTAGTGGACGACGACCCAACAACGCCATCTGCAAGCACTTAAACACTAATCTATTGCTTAGTTAAAAACTGGATGTAACCCTGACGAGTTGATCTAGTACTTGAACTTGGGAATTGTTCGAGTTTGTCGGTAGCAAGAATTTAAGTTTTAATAGATACATGTGATTTGTGAGTGATTATGTGTATTTGAAATTTATATTATAATTAAAAATTTAAAAGACTAATGATTAGAATGATTCCCTATTATTTAACATGAAAAAGCAAATGACAGCAATCCCATCACTCATACGTTGATACCTAAAAGGCTACACTTCACAACTGATCCCATATCCCCTGCTTCCAACCAAACCACATATTCTGTCAACTGCACCTCAGCATTATGTCACTCACCAAACACATTTTCCAACACTTCAAATGCACTTCTTTATTAATTTTTGTCCTTATTCATCAGCACCCTTGTAGTTGTTATCTTAAAGTTGCCAATCCGAACAACCAATTTCATCATATTGTGACTTCACATAACCCATAATTTTTAAGCATATACAACGTTTGAGGGAATTGGATAAATCATCGTCTCTGCCATGGAGATTTTTTCAGTATGGTTCCAACTTTGTCTTTAGGAGGACCAGTCTATGACTATGGACTACGGTGGCGCCCAAACCCTTCGGTCAAGCCACTTGTGGAGTGATTAACAACATGATGGTACCAAGCCTATTCTACGAATACAGCACAAGGATGAGTAATAGGGTTGGCAATTAATTATGTCGTTGAGTTTGTTTCGTTTACATTTTTCAATTACTAAATTCATATACCATATATTTATAATTGTGTATAATTAGATTCCTGTTTAATACATATAACACTTACTCGGCTTCGCTAACCTAAAATATTAAGCAAATTTAAAGAGTCTATCTGATTGTCACTGGCATTTATTAAGATTAATTTAAACCCCAGTCTATGAGTAATGCCAATGCGCAACCTTCCACTAACCGACCCCTCTTGCATGCGTGTTGACGTTCATTCCCTCTTTCTTTTTGGCTCCCAACCATCGTCCCTTTCTAAACAGAAAGATTACTTTCTTTCTATAACCCTCCACTCCTCCCAAAAACAGCCCATCATCTCTTAACATTTCATATTCATACCCATCTTTCATACTCTTGTACAAATCTCTTTTTCTTTCTCCCCATTTCTGATCCTTTACACCTACACATTAACTCCTTTTTCTTGTTCCTATAATCTTTTACTCTCTGAACTTATTGCAGAGAAATGGGCAATTGCTTTGCTCTCTGTAAAACCATTAAGAACTTCTGTGCAGGAGCTTCCGCAAGCAAGCATCAAAAAGTTTTGCAGGTTGTGAAGATGGATGGAAAGATCTTTGAGTTCACAGAACCAATTGTTGTGAAAGATTTACTGGTAAATTTTGTGGGTTTGGGTGTTGGTAATTCAAAGAAAGCTTCCCAGCATCTTCCTCCTAGCTACGAGTTGATGTTAGGGAACGTATACTATCTTCTTCCTTTGGTGGGCACTGTTCAGACTACTGTTAGCCCTGCTGGTGTCTCGCCACCGGATAAAAGAGAACAAGAAGGTAGTGTTAAGAGGATTAAAGTTGTAATAACAAAGCAACAGCTTCAAGAATTGTTATCAAAACAGATATCAGTTCAGACGGTGCTGTCAGGGCTTGAGAAGAAGACACAACTTTCGGGTGATTCTTCAATTAGTTGGAGGCCTAACCTTGAATCCATTCCCGAAGGAATCGAGGTATGCTCGACGTTGGAAAGTAGTTAGGTGCTCTGGTATTTGGCTAGTCATGTTTAATGAATTACTGTTATGCAAAAATCAGGTCATACAGATGGAGAAATAGATGTAGACTAGGAACAGAAGTTGCCTCTGGAAAATGTATTGTAACAACATAAGCAGAGCTCATCAGATTCTCATTTAATCAGTTCAATGCATACATAAAACGAAACATTACATATGATTTACGAATCACTCTGTTTCGAAGCAGTCCTGAAAACATTTGGCAGACGTTCACTGTTGTTTCTCCTTCAGAGAACAGACTATTTCTTAGTTTTTGTGGCAAATGTTTTCAATTTTCAGTTTTGTTTCGTGATTACTGTGAATACAATTCAATCCTACCTTAAATTTTTATAGCCTGTGCGGGTGATTTCTCGCACAACAGTGAGATAACATCACTCTGGTTAATACTCGAAAGAAGCTCTCTCTGGTTAATACTCGAAAGAATCTCTCTAGCTAGGGAACGACGAAAACCTGACACTCACAAAGAAAGGTTACAAGGGAAGCCGAAGGGGTCTCGGGCGATTCCCCTCCGATGCCAAAGTTAGTTTTAGGGGAAGAAACAAAACAGTGTAAATGCTAGGTTTGTAGAACGTACCCCTATCCCTCTTTTCTAAGACCACTATTAATACCTTCTTGATAGGTGAACATGACTATTGAGAACATCAAACTAGTCCCTTTTGGCAGGAAAATCCCCGATTGGCTCACACTTGGGACAACAGGGATGTTCCTTTGATTTGATCATGCAGACAGACATCAAACAGAGTACCTACTTTACCTCGCCCCCTCGACATCCAAACCCTAGCCGATCATTAAAATTAACGCCGCCAAAGAATTTCTTTCTAGTGTCAACTTGAGTGCTGTTATCTCACAACTCATAGACCAAGAATAAGGATCATGATGCAGTATATTTCAAGTCGTCTTTAAGCCATATCCTAATCTTATACTTCAAATTGCAATCCAAAAACATCCTTGTGAGTGCCCAAATTCCTCCATATGCTCAATTGGATAGAAGTTGTCACAGCATTGAAAGTGATTCAGGGACCCGAAGGGGGTCTTAATGGTCTCAAGGATTTCCCAAATGAAATTGGCAAATTGCCAAGGCAATGACCAAAACAGGGAAAAAGAGAGAATTTTGTGTGCAATTTGTTCTAATGCAGCATATGACTTACAATATTTCAACGAGCCATGATGTTGGGATGAAATCTGCAAACTCAATCTTAACTCGATCTTACATATATACATGGACTACAGTACACATCGATAAGAGGGAAAAAAGAGCAGCACTCTATATTAATACTCGCATACACCACAAACTGAGCAAAGAATTTGAAACAGAGACAGCCTCGTAGAAACCCACAAAGATTTTACTGAATATCTACATGAGTCACCTTGCGCTCCACCTTGGTCTTGGGAATGGAGATGAAAAGAACTCCATTCTTGAGTTCTGCTTTGACTTCATCCTTCTTGCAATTCTCCGGGACCTGAAGACGAAAGTCGTAGGAGCTGAAGCTACCTGACCATGAATCATCTCCACCTTCTTCCTTCTTCTTCTCTCCTTTAATGACAAGCACATCATCCTCCACAGAAACCTTGACATCTTCCTTGGACAGTCCAGGCATATCGAAACGCATCTTAATCTCATTTTCATCTTCTTGAATTTCCCAGGGGGTACGTATCTCCCCGGTCGATAGTTTCCTTGCAGTGAATGGGAAGGTCAGGGCGTCATCAAGTAGTCGGTCTATTGTGGTTAGCATTTGGCTCATTGTTCTCATTGGAGAAAAGGGATCCAATAGTCCTGTTACAGAGTTAGATGCTTGTAAATAACAGAAAATTCTGTTAATGCAATTAGTGGTTACTTGTGATTTCTTACAATATCATGAAAGACTCAGACAAATTTAACCATACATCGTTAAATTATATTGAAGTTGACACCATTTAAGCTTGAACAGAACCAATCCTTCTGCTGTCATTACATTCTTAATGGGTAAACAATTAAAGTCCAACTGGGTTTTCAACTCTTACAAAGCAATTGCTCAGAAGATGGGGACCTATAATATCACTAAATTATGCTAAAAATGGGAGGAAATCGGAGCAAGTAGACTTACCGAGAGGAGAGATATCGGTCACCGCCCTTTGAGGCCGGCGTTCAACGGCAGTCCCTTGTTTGTCGCCTTTATTACTGATCTGAACATCCACCGATGTATCTTTGTCATCTCCGGCCGCCCTAGCTCTCACGACAGACAACCTAGAGGGCTTTCTTGCATTACATGCAGACGGAAAGAACACAGAGCACGGCCTAAATGCCTTATCCGAAGGGTTTAAAAACTTGTTTGACACCAGAGGTGAGGTAGAACATGGCAAAGTTTTAGTAGCCATTTGCGATCAGAAAGAGAAAACCCACCCAAAGGAATGAACAAGATTGGAAGCGGTCTGTGTAGTGTGAACTTTCACCGAAGAAGTTTAGAAGATGCGAGAATGGGTGGGGATAGATGTTAGATATATGTAGGCAGAGTGTGGAAGTGTAACGAGGCATCGTGAATGTTTGATACAACGAAGACTCTAGACCCATGCAAATCTTGTCACCATCCACCAATATACAGTGGATTTCTCTCTCTCTCTCTCTCCCGTTTTCTCTTTCATTCGGGAAAGTTCGATTCTTCGCGTAAGCACTGGGCTTTTTCCTCTTTTTTTCGGCTTTTTTATTTCTTTCTTATTTTTTAACTTACCCTTTTCCATTCAAATGTATATAAGATGCCGTAAACGTTATATTTGAGTAATATTATTAGGATTTCATTTGTTAATTTAATTCATTATAATCATTAAATTAATTATAAATTTCATCAAATATTGAAATCCCTAATTTAACAGTTAGAATGAAATTACATCATTAAACTAATAAATTAGATCAAATTTTTAACTTTCAATAACATTATTCTATATTTTATCGTATGATTTGAAAAAAATCTTTCAGTTTTAAAGAGAATTAAATATTTTCATTAATTTAATATCATTTTTTCTATTATCTAAATTTTTTCTATCTATTATGTTCTAATCTTTGTGGCCACTCTATAACCCCCGAAATTATTTACAAAAAAGTTACATTCTCCGTTCCTAAATATCTATCGTTTTACATAATTTTTTTTGTTCCACAATATCTGTCGTTTAATGAAACTAAAGCATAATTAATATTTTTTCTTCCAAATTTATCCTTATTTATGTTTTCCAATAAGTATTTAATAGATTAAATGTATGCTAAGTGTCTTTCATATTCCTTTCATTCTCAATACGTATTGAACAAGGATAGTTTAGTCTTGTGCAATTATTTTTTACTCATATTAAAGCTATTTAATAATTTCTTTAATCCCTGTGCAAAAATCTTAAACGATATTTAGGAACGGAGGGAGTACTGTTTTCTATCCATAATTAGCATGTATCTCTCCTCATCCTATTTTAGTAGATTAATGTTATTTGGACTTAAAACTTTAACATAGTTTACTAATCTAATAATGTGATTTTATTGAAATCATTGAATTAACACCAAATTTTAATGTTTAATATAACCCACATTTAATCCAAATGTCATAATGATTAGGTCAATAAATTAGGTTCCGATAGTATTGCTCATTTTAATATCACATTGTAGACCCCCACTTCAACTCTATCTTCATACTCTTGTACTACGTGTCTAAATTTTATATACATTTCGACTAATTATTTATTCAATGCAGTAAAAAACAAGTCATTCAAACCGGCGCATCTCTATTATCACATGAGCTGCCCTTAGATTTTATGTGATATATTTCAACAGATCCCTTCTGTTAAAACAAAAACTCACTCAATTAAGTTAATTAAATAATTAAAAGTTCAGAAAATATTTTAAAACAAAAATATGTGATTTACCCAGTAATGATTAGTACTACAAATAATTAGTTACTTGTAGATCACATGTTTTTCAGTAATGATTCTCCATCTCCTACTTCTCCCCCAGTAGGCAACATTCACCCAACTGTTCTCTTGTGTCTCTCCCGATTCCAATCCCGAAAAGATCACCATTACTGTCATCTCTTTGTCTGTGTTTGTGAGTATGTGCGAATACTAGGACGAAGAGTAGTTCTTAATAACACGTGAAGCCATGAGAGTTTGTCATTTGTTTGTTCAGACTTATAATTAAAAAAAAAAAAAAGCAAAAGCCAAGCCTTCCGTCTATAGTTCTCTTTCCACAGCTTTCAGCGTTCTCGAGACCACACACCCTTTCATGTTGTCTCCAACAGTCTGACACACCAAAGAACTATGTTTACAGTGCTACAATGCCACAAGAAGGCAGAATATTAACGTTGCATAATGCAAAGTTCTGTTACAATAATATATAGGGGATAGCAGTTACTTTGTTTGATCATGCTTCTATAATTAAAGTTTTCCTACAACCTCCCTTCATGGGGAAGATTGGAGGAAGCTCTTGGCTGAATGTGGTGAAAAAGGCTTTTAGGTCTCCCACCAAAGATACTGAGAAGAGATGCAGCAGGAGGAGATCAGAAGAACATGAAGAAGAAGAAGAAGAAGAAAAGGTAATAATTTTTAATATAAAAAGGAATTCTAGTATGAATGATCAGTGGAATGAAATTTGTATTTGGGCATTTGCAGAAGAGAGGAAAGAGAAGATGGATTTTCCGGAAGCATTCGCTTCATGAAACAACAATCCAGCATAATGAATTAGTACAGAACATGACCACCTCAGCAAATACTAATTTAGGAACTTTGGTAAGGAATCCTATGTCCGAGGCTGCTGATTATGACCAAAGACGCGCCATTGCGGTGGCTAGGGCAACAACAGCAGCTGCTGAGGCCGCAGTGGCAACAGCTCAGGCAGCCGTGGAAATCATTCGTCTCACCACCAGACCTTCAATTTTAGTGAGACAACAACACGCTGCTGTCATTATTCAGACAGCCTTCAGAGGATATCTGGTATTGTGTGTGTGTATATATAGAGAGAATGATTTTCTAAAACAATGTTGTTTTGGAAACATAACGTTTACTGAACAAAGGAGGAGCTAAACACCGTGTATTCATGCAAACACACTCATGCATACATGTTTTTACCATTTCAAAGGATAAATTGTGCACAGCCAGAGTTTAATTGGAGTATTACTGTGGTTTTTCAGGCAAGGAGAGCTCTTCGGGCACTCAAAGGGCTTGTAAAGCTCCAAGCTTTGGTAAGAGGCCACATTGTCCGAAAGCGAGCAAAGATGACACTTCAATGCATGCAAGCGCTTGTACGAGTTCAAACTAGAGTCCGTGATCAACGTAAGAGGCTTTCATATGAAGGAAGCATAGGTTCCATGTTCAGTGATCCCAGCAGTTTATGGGAATCTCATCTTGCAGACAGAAAGTCCATTGTAAGTAAATCTGGGTTGAGTTATTTTCTTAAGCTTCAGCTGATTCTGTGTTTTGATTGGTTTCCACAGTCTAGAGAAGGAAGTAGCATTGCATATGATTGGGATGATCATCAACACACCTTAGAGGAGATCCAAGCCATGATACACAAAAGAAAGGAAGCTGCTCAGCTTGCTCATGTCTTCTCTCACCAGGTTTTCTCATCTCTCTCATTCCGTCTTCATCTTGGTTTTCTGTTTCGGATACTTCATCTGTAAGACCCAATAAGCTCAAATAACAATCTTCTGTGTGGTTCTGAAAAGTAGATGTGGAGATCTGAGAAGAACCAAATTCCAGGCAACCAAGAGGTTGATGAAAGCAGCAGTTGGTCTGACCAGTTGGAGAGGAGGGGTAGAGCATCTTGTGATCAAAGAGAAACCATAAAAACAGTGGAAATTGACACTGCTAAGCCTAACTCTTTCTCCGGACTCAATTTGCAGAGATCACAAAATCAATATTTGCACTACCAACAACAAAAACCCTGTTCATACTCTGTTTCTTCCCCACTCAACAGAACACATCAAAATCTCTCCATCCGCTCACCCATCACACCATCTCAATCCAGAAGAAAACTACTCCCAGTGCATTCAGCGAGCCCTCGTTGCCCAAGAGAAGCCGACAACTATCCAAAAGCTCAGACACCAACTCTTCGCTCCAATTCCTACCATAGAATGAGTGTAAGTGGGAATTGTAGTTCTGTCCCAATGCCGAGTTACATGGCAGCTACTGCATCGACCAATGCTCGAGTTCGTTCACAGAGTGCACCAAGGCAGAGGCCTTTGACCCCAGAGAGAGAAAAACCAGGTTCAGTGAAGAAACGGCTGTCTTTCCCTGTTCAAGATTCATACAATGACATTGGCATCGACTGTTGAGCAATGATCTAACACGCCTTCTTGCTGCACGGATACATCTCTACCTTTAACTGGTGAGTTTAGGCAACGGTTGAGATGAGCAAATTCAATTGAATGTATGGAGAACAAGGCAGGATGATGGTGAAGGTTGTTACATTTCGGCAATATGAAGCTAAAAACTAGAGGCATGAGCATTATAGTGCGAAGTGAATGACCCATGAGAGTGAGACGTAAAAATTTCTGCCATCAGTAAAGTTCATTGAACAACCTTACCCTGTTCTCTTTTTGTTTTCTTCTTAGGTTGTTTTCGTCATCTTATTTTATAACCATGAAAGTCTTGAATTGATGGCATCAATTTCTTTTGCCTTCCATTTTCTTATGTAAAACTCAATGGCACCAATACCGTTCCTCATAATCCAAGAGTCTGCAATGGGGAAACCTAGGCGCCACTGAATGAAGATGAATTTGGGAGACACAGGGACCACTGAAAGAAGCAATGGCAAATTATATACACATTCTGAAACCAAGCCCAAAAAAAGAAGAAGTTGAAACTACTAATTTTAAACAGCTTGTGAGATCTTTTGTTTTTTTGTTTTTGATTTTTAACTAGTTCCTTAAAAGATCTCAAGAGACGAAATTACACAAGCATCAACTTTTCGTTTTCCCCTGTTTTTCAAACAACCAAACTAGGCCTAAACTAAGATAGAAAAATGACTGTTCACTGAAGCATTTTGGCAAACAAATAACAGTCGGCCTAACTAAAACATAAGATGAACAGGACATCTTCACTTTCTGGCCAACATAGAGACATCAGGCTTTGATGGGTAAAATGTTTGGCTAGGCAGCATAGGTTGAGGCTAGGGAATGACTTATATTTCAAACAAACATGTATAAGAGCCTAGGCTTGTGAAAGCTGCAAGTATAAAAATAGCCCTTTTATGAACATCTTTAAGAATTTGAATACCTAAATATTTTAGCAGAAGCTACTATTCTGCCAGAATTTGCAAAGCTTCTAATAAGTCAAAGCCCAAAATAACTCCCATATTCAAACAAGCTTGAGTCACAACAGAACTTAGGCTGAAATTGTCATATTAAGGTGCATATCTTCTAAACACTAAAAAGAATCATAAATAACCAAATTCGTCATCTATTTAGGTATATAACAAGTTGATGTCAAACTGTGTGTGGGTGGGTGTAGGGGTGGGTGTGTGTGTGTGTGTGTTTGAGAGAGAGAGAGAGAGTTTGGAGGGTGTACCACATTCAACACGACCAAACTGAATTCAATAAGGTGTCACTAGAGTCAGGCATGGTAGGTGTAGCAGTGAAAGAATCTCCAGAGCTGCTACTATGGAGTGTGGGTATAAAAGTCAGGAAAAGAGAGAAGATAGTGGACCTACTTGTTTGTCTTTTGTTTTTTGGGGAGAAGATACAGAGGAGGTTACTCTTCAATTTGAAATTATTAATCCAAGTCCTAATAGATTTTTTCCGACAAAAAGAGGGGCATGACCCTACTCAAGTCAGGAAGATGGCCAAGATTCACAGAAACAATTACATACAAAAGACCTCGTTTTGTATGTTTAACATCTGTCATTTTAGGATTATCTTAGCTCCTTAGTTTAATCAATGTTCAACACACCACATTTCATTTCGGGCGATTCCTGGGAATATCTGAAAAAGTTGAGTAGTCTCAAAAGGTGGATGCTTCATCCAACTAAGGTTTTGGATCACATAATTCTTCATTAATTTTATAATACTTTGCATGCATAAGTGAGCAAATCAAATTATATGAATCCTTCAAACACATGAACCTATTCAGCAGACCAAAGAATGAAGCATTCCACTTCACATATGCCAAAAAAATGTTGGAAAACTTAGTTTGGAAGCATCAACAAAGTAAAACAAAAAATAAAGCAACAACATATCAAATGTTGCAAAAATAAGAACCAAAATCCAACAAGAGAAAGATGTCATATTGCTTTAGTTCAGCCACCTGAAGGCAACAAAATCTGGAGTTGCAGTTGTGGCAGCAAGATTTGGGCTGTTGCTACCACTGTTATCAGAGACTGATAACACTGTTCTGTGGAGAAGCCCAGATGGAGACGAGACAGCAGTAGCCGGAGGACTAATTAAATCGACATTGCCAACTTGAGGGGATGCTGGATTCGAGCCTGCTGAGAGAGCGCTTGGTCGTAAGGCCTCTGCTAGTGGCCCGCCTGCTGTTGAAACCTTCCATGAACCAAGGCTCTGCCAGCTTGAAACTTGAGTCTTATGTTTATCTGAATTTTCCACATCTAAGCCCATTTTGATCAGACCCATTTCCTCATCAAGAGCATTACCAGCCGCCATGGCCATGGATAGAGTGAGTGAAGAAGGTGAGAGGTTTCCATGCAATGAAACAGAGGACTCGTTGATGTTGCTGCTGTTGCCCTGCGTGTTGGGGTTGTCATTTGACCAAGCATCAATAAAACCCCTTGGAGCCTCTATGTGGGGCTGCTTGTCTATGGACACCAAGTGAGGGTTGATAAAAAAGTTGCATTCTTCACTTTGTTGGTCGCCACTAAAATATGTATAGCAAATCAGATTTTTAGGCTCTACTCCATAATATTGCTGGAAAGCAGAGGCATTAGTGTTATACACAACAGAGCCTCCAGTAGTCAATTCAAGATTTGTCTGCATAAAATCCTGCCATTGCTGAGCAGATGGATTCATTGTAACTATTTCACCTTCCAAGCCCCTTCAATATGCAAAAACAAATCATTAATCTAATCTACCAAAAGTACCCATTATCATACACACAAAACTAACCAACAACCAACCTTTTGGGTTCATTGCAAGAGGTTGCAGGGATATTCGGATCAGCTTTAGTATCAACAAACAAACAAGCCTCATTTGGTTGAATGGTAGATCCAAGAAGCTGAGATGAACAACCTTTGTTTTGAAGTGTCGGGTCAGGCGTTGTGTGCAGAGGACTATGGTGAAGGCAGGTCTTCTTCGTGTTGTTGGCGTTGGTGAGAGGAGAAGGAACTTCCACATGCTTTCTTGAACGGGGATGACTTCAGTGCATGTGGCGCTCACAGTACTTTTTGTGTGTGCACGATCTTGCACAATATAAACACAAGAATAGATCTCTTCCATAATGAACACGTGTCCGTCGATCGAGTGGTTAATCTCACTACTTGAGACCGGTTGTAAAGGCTGAAAGTGGCCTAAGGAGGGATAATGAATCGTTTTTATGAGTCACTTGACTGATCTTGGGAGGCTAAGGGAGGCTCCTGTAACAGAGAAAAACAAGTTAAAAGGGCGCCGGAGTGTTTTTCAGCGTATCCCCTCCAATGATCAAGTCAGTTCTTTGAGAGAGGGGAAAAAGAAAATACTGTATGATGGTTGAGAAAGGATTTGTTGCGTACCTCTTTTCTGTGTTTGTGAGGACTATTTATACCTTAAAAACTCATCATTGCTGACAGCGTAACTAGTAGGAAATCATTGGAGGTGGGCAGTGTGCACACCAATTTCTATGAGTAATGTTTTTATTCTTAACTGCTCGGGGACCCCGAGCAACTAATTCTTTCTCCTCGGTCTGCCGAACGTATAATGACCTTCTTTCGGCGGGGGTGTATTAAATGCCCAAACTTTGGGAGGTAATAAGCTCTCATGCATTAAATGTTGTCTTATCAAGGAAATGGTGCATTAAATACTTGTTTTCCCAAGTCGTGTGTCAGCAAGGGCATTTTGATCTTTTTGTCTCTGATCTGACACAATACGCCACGTGCCTATTCCCCCTTGGTTGAGCCTTCTGTTTTCTTGCGCCTCCTGACACCATTTAAGTAAGACAAGGTCATGATGGCTAGTCTAGTCTAACCTAGGCTAGTGATTTGTTCATCAATAGCCCTACAGGAGCAGATATGCTTCGTAAATGGATATACCTCGGTTCTGAGGGTCCAGCGTCGCTAGGGGCCAATGTACCCAAAATTGACCGAGGGATACGTGTCGGTCGATGGGATATTAGAGATCCTTGATCCCTATGAATAGTATCCTCGGGGAAAGGGGGATTATGGACCGATGTGCACGTGTCGTGATCTGATCGGTGAGTATCCATCGACTCCGAGGACACGTGTCGTCATCTTGGAGTATCCAAAAATGTCCCATCAACTGCCCCCCAGCCTTCGATCTTCTGACACCGAGGACACGCGTCGTAAGAAGACGAAAGGTTCTGCAACTGCCTTAACCACCCCATCATTACTTCCAGTCATTTTCCGTTGCTTAGGAGGTCGTGCACATTAAATGCGCCCCTTCGTGCTTCGTGCCCAATGATAGGGACAGACACTATATAAACGGGTCTTCTCATTTTTTCCCACACTTTTACCATTTAGAACTTTCATAGAGCTTTCGCCGGAGACTTCGTCGGAGACACCCTTAGTCACATCGTTTACCAACCAGTCGTCACCAGAGTTTGGATCAGCAAACCCCCTCTTGCTTCCGAACCTTCCTAAAAAAGGAACCACTCCAAGGTCCTCGAAAATCTTCGTTTTCATTCTGGTGAGTCCTTGCATCCTTCTTTTCATCATTTTTCTGGGTTTTGCTTTTTATTCCCCGAGAACTGGAAGTGTTTCTGGTTGTCGTCGTTTTGACCAACCCTCAGGAAACCACTCGGGATTCTTTGTAGAAAAACTTTCTTTCCTTCCCCTTTCCTTTTCATTTTAATTGGAGATGCCCCAATGCTGCCCTGTCACCGAGGACCCCCAGGCTAGTTCCTCGAGGTCAGGAAAGTACAAAGTGAAGTGAGACCAGCAGGTCGATAGGTTTAGGGCCCAGTATCACATTTTCCGAAACGTAGGTATAGAAGATTACGACTCAGTTTTGCATAACCGTAATCTCAGGGCCGAGGATGAGATGCCCTTTTTCACCAAAGCAATCATAGAAGGTGGAATTATGTTCCCTCTGTCTCCTCTACTCCTCCAGTTCCTTTCCCATTTCAACCTTTTCCCCGAGCAATGTTGCCTTAATGTCTTTAGGATAATAATGGGGGTCCTAGAGCTTAATAATCATCTCGGAATAAACGTTGGGCTCAACGATATCTTTTTTTGCTACTCCCTGTTGAGAGTCATGCCTCAGCAGAATTTCTACCTCAAAGCCAGGGATCCATCCATGTACCTAGTAACTCACCTCCCTGACTCGGACAAAGGGTACAAGGATGACCTCTTGATCTTTAGCGGATCTTGGGAGCGGGAGACCGATCTCGAGTACGATGGTCTGAGGTGCCCCCTTGAGTGGAGAACGACAAGTACGTCGGCTTCTTCGAGTCTAATTTTTTACTATCCTTAGGATATTTTGCAAGTGTTAATAACATTTTTTCTTGTGCAGACGTCTCCGCCGGGGAAGTCGCCCTTCTTTCTCGGTCTTTGGTACACTTTGTCGACCCCATAACTGTTTGAAAGTTTGTCGGTAATGACGGGTTTGGTCGGGCCGCTCATCTTCTCTTAGACTACACAGCAGGGTACAAGGAATTTTTACAACTCCCCCAACCTTTTAACCATTTGCAGTGGTCTGAACTCTTTGATCAGACAGCGCAACAAGAAGCCGAGCAAAACTTGGAGAAAAACACTGACAGGGCTACTGAGGTGGAAGTAGAGGGCATCTTTGTAGTTGCGGAGTTCGGGGCCAGAGAGGTTTTTGTTCCTTCGCACGCCGAGGTGGGGACCTCTGGGAGAGATTTGTGGCCGGACTTCAACATCCTCCAGTCCCTAGACGCAGAGGACGCTTTTGAGGTAGTCATGTCACACACGCCCCGCATAGACCTGGGTTTCTTGAGGCAGAGGCAGACCCTCGCCGCAAGGAGAGGACGAGGGTCAACCAGCAGCGCCCCATCAACAGGGACCAGCGCCAACCCCCCACCCTCGAGGGGCGCTGGTCGGGGTCAGGTGAGTGATCGAGATCCCCAAGTTGAAGAGGAGAGAAGGACCAAGAAAAGGCATGACGACCTTGGTAAGGGATTCAGGGCCCCCTTCGCTCAACATCAAAGTGGGAGGGGTCATGGGTTACCCCCTCCACCTCAACAGCAACAACAACAGCAGCAGCAAAGACAGACTTCATTTCCCCTGCCGTAGACGGTGGAAGCTGCGGAGTGGAACCTCGGGCTACTGATCATATAAACCGGGTGATCAGGGTCAACGATTCTATTCTGCAGGATCCTCATGTCGTCAATGCAGTGAGCGAGATGCTCCATTTCGAGGCCGACATTGAGGCTCACAGGAGGTGGACAACGAACACGTTGTTCTGTTCCATCATTCAGAATTCCCTGGTGGTAAGTTCATCTTTGATTTAGCCTTTCCTCACTGTATCACCCACATATTGACCAAGTTCTTTCTCTCGTAGGCCACCCAATAAATTTCCATAATCGCTGCGTGATACCATGCAGCTAGGATGGACCTCCAACGGACCTAAGAGCTGAAGGAAGAGGTTGAAGGAGCCCTAGCCAGTGCGAAGGAGGACATGGCTGCCAGGGACTCCACCCTTATGGGCCAGGCCGCTCAAATTGAGCAACTGCTCAAGGACAGCGAATTGGCGAAGGTCGGCGCTGAAAAGCTAAGTGCCGCCTTGGCCGACGCTGAGAGGAGGATTACACAGCAGACGCAGCGGCTCTCTGCGGCCGAAGTGAGGGCCGTCGGGTCAAAGAAGAACTGCCTGGCTCTGACCCAGGAGCTGGACAGGGTCAGGGCGAAAACGGATAATAGAAAGTCTGAGGAACAAATCCGAGAGGAGTTTGCCGATGATATACTACCCGCCCTTGAGGAGAACAGTAAAGAGTTCTTCAAAAAGGGGTGGGATGAGGAGCTCCAAGCCGTCGGTGTCCTTCCAGACTCTCCACTCTTCCAGATGCACAACTACGTACCATCGACAGAGATGACGTAGGGCGAGGCCGAGATTGCTGCTGAGGGTACGACCCCAACGCCGATACAAGTTTTGGCAGACCCACCTGAGGTGATAATTCTCGTCCTATCCGATGAGGCCCTGCCGGAGTCAGCTCCTTCTCTTCCTGAGTCCAATATTCCTCAGACCCTGCCTATTACTGATTCTGCCCCAGCTCTGCCTGCCTCAGAAGCTGCTCATCCCTTCTGCGTTGATTCTCCTTGCAGCGACGTATTGGAGATACCCGGGGCCAGATGAAAAATTCTTCTTTCTTTTTGAACTATACATTTGCATTTGAATATGTATTTTCCTTCCTGTCTCTATAGCTCTCGGGGACGCAAAGACCCACTTTTTGGAATGAATAGCTCATCTTTCACTTTTTACGCCGATGCTGCAGTAACTATTGGTAACAAAATATCCCCTTAGCTCTGACATCTGGGGAGCAATTTGGTTGACCCATTCGATTGGTTCAGCTTCATTATTTTTATGGGTCTTACCCCCCCCCCCCCGGGGTGGTGTCCTCCCAGGGGTTGGTTCCTCGGACTGTCTTGAGGGCCTTGCCCTTCCAGGAGGCTTGCTCCCAATTTTTCTTCGAAGGCAGGAGTTCTGGAACTCTGCCTCCAGGGCCTTACCCTTCCAGGAGGCTTGCTCCTGATTTTCTTTCAGAGGCAGGAGTCTTTGAACTCTTCCTCCAGGACCTTGCCCCTTCAGGAGGCTTGCTCTTGGTTTTCCTTCGGAGGCAGGAGTCCTTGAACTCTGCCTCTAGGGCCTTGCCCTTTCAGGAGGTTTGCTCCTGATTTTTCTTTGGAAGCAAGAGTCCTTGAACTCTGCCTTCAGGGTCTTGCCCTTTTAGGAGACTTGTTCCTGATTTTCCTTCGGAGGCAGGAGTCCTTGAACTCTGCCTCCAGGACCTTACCTTTTTAGGAGGCTTGCTCCTGTTTTTATTTTAGAGGCAGGAGTCCTTGAACTCTGCCTCCAGGGTCTTGCCCTTGTGATACTGCCATTAATAAGTGCTGAGAGAGATAATACTCAAAAATAGTATTTTTTTAGATTTATCACATTCTAAGGCCGTATTACAGGTTTTCCTCCCATATCTTCTAATCTATATGATCTAGAGCCCCCTACTG